CTACCACCATCCCCTCACTAAACAGTAAACTAAAATACATAAAACTTTCTTGGGGCCTCATAGTTCTTAATGCCAGATAACAATATGTGCTCTATACCCTTGGCCCTTTATAAAGAGATATTATCCACAAATTCATAGATTTCAATATTTCAGTTCCCCATTCATATCCACATTTTCTTTCAAAAGTTTTACAAACAGTTTGGAATCACCTATTGTAACCAAGTCAGTTTAAAATGTACTGGGCCAGTATTCTAACTACTTCTTTTTGCTTTCCCTCCAGGTAGACACCTCTGGAGCTTAATCTTTTTTTTTTACATTTCTGAAGGGAGATTATTGAATGGGGCTCTCCCCAACAATTCACTTTTTTCCCCCACTATTTTCACACTATTTTCTTTTAGTTTCTTTCACTTTACTTTAATAACATTCAAATTATGAAAAGCCACTTGACATAACAATACAAAAGTTTACCAATTTGCAGATCCTTACATTTTCCCAATTTACAGTGTAATAAATTCTGAACATTACATTTCATTTTCTTGGCAGCTACCGAACAAGCAGAACCCAAACAAGCACTAGGCATAGCTTCCAGCTGCCCATGAATTACCTTTTGTTTGTGCTCTGGTACACAAAAACTTTTTTCTCTTTTAGGTAAGGCAGGGAATGGTTAAAAACTTATTTAGCTTGCCTCCCTTTGATCTGATTTTTTTTTCTCCTCTCTCTCTACATTCAACAATTTAGCCGAACTTGGAATGCAGGAGAGAGGAAGAAAATATTTTCCAACAACTCTTCAAGAGTTCCAAAGCTTTTTACTTTCAAAACCTCTATTCATACTATAAAGTATTATCTCTCTTTTTCTCATCCACCCCTCTAAGGCTGCTCTTACCAGGGAGGAAGGGTGGGGGGAGAAACAAAGCGGCTGCCTGACTGCAAAGGATCAGAGTACACATACGAACAATCAGTCATACCACACACACAGAGACACAAACACAGAAATTAGACATATAACAAATTGCTGTTATATTCTCAAATCATTAAATCATATTTAACCATTTTCTTTTATCTTCCACTTTGTATTTTGGTGGTTCATTCCAATTCTGGGACTACCTTGTATATGCGTGGTGCTAGATTTAAACTGCTCATTACCCATTTTAATTTTCTCAGGACCTAACCTTAGGCCCTCTCAGGTAATTTATTCAGGACCTAGCCCTAGGCCCTCAGGGAAAGGTCTCGCCTTACTCCCTTCCCTCAGTCACCTGAGTGCTCACCTGTCAGCGTCTCTCCAGGGATACTCAGTCCTATCCCAAAGACCCACAAGTTCTGCAGCAGGTAATACACGTATAACTTACGTGACTACTCTGTCCACCGGCCGGAGATTTACGCTTGCACCACACTACCACTGTCAGGGCTCTTTCTTCATTTTCTTTTACTTTTAAGTTTCTGTTCCTCCGAGTTCCTCTCCTCCGACTTCTGCCGCTCAGGAGGGAGACCAATCCCCAAGTCCGAGAGCCACCAAGAAAAATGGCTGGTGGGCGCCTGCTCTCGGCCCTTAGAGAGGGTCGACTCCTAAGAGGCGCCAACGCACCAAACTGTGTGGGATGCCACTCAAATTAAAGAACACACAGAGGTATCCAAGGAGAAACAGAAAGTTAATTTATTATTATAATTATTTCAAACCTCGAGATTTGGGTGTCCCTCCACCAGAATACTCTGATGAAAGGAGACACAGACAGAAGCAAAGGACCTGATTAAATACCCTAATGGGCAAATTCCCCCCTCCCACCAACTGGCCAATATTTGGCTCACATTCTCAATGTCCATAGAAACTGAAGACAAAACAATGAACACAATATACATATCTATATTTCTTAGTTTGCTGAAGTAATACCAAAGAAGCAATTAAAGATGTGCAGTCAAGCTAGACACTGTACTTGTAGCCAGGTCACCATGACCGGAATATAGCAACAGGTGCATCAACAAAATACAGGGGGGGCTTCTTCAGGAGTTTCAGGCTTGGCAAACTTTAACTACTTAACAATGGCATGGGGGGGTACTTGGGGTTGAATTCCCGTAAATCAGGTGATTTCTAGTAAATTGAGACTTAGGCCTGTCAGGCTGCTATGCCTGCCTTGAGTCTAATACAATTTCTATTTATTCTTCTAAGAAGTTTTCACGGGACCCCTCATCCCACTCAGCCTTATCCCAAACCTTAATTACACTGAGGAGTCTTCACTGGGACATCCCATTCACCACCATTCTTCCAGTCTCCCAAGTTAATAATGTTGGCATAGATCTCACCACACATATCTACTCGGTTGCCAGATCTTTACTTTTCTATTTCTACAACTCTCACATCCAACCATTGCTTTCCACTCATAGCCTCAGTTTAGGCTCATCATCCATTACTTCTCTCTTAGAATGTTGTAACAGCTTATTCTCTGACTCATCTCTCCACACTAATGCCAAGTAATTGCCCTTACACACAGCTCTGACCATGTCATTCCCCTCCTCCAACAATTCCAGTGACTCACTCCTCTAGTTTTTAAAGCATTGCAGTCTTTGGCTGATTTTTTTCCTCCCTTCTAGTCACTGGGTCTTAAGAGAAAATGATTTTTCCTTGTCTTTTTAAAAAATTTTTGATTTATTTTATTCTGAACTTAAATAGAACATGCATTTCCATAACTAGTAGAATAGGAAAAAAAGGTATACATGAAACTGCAAATCTATCATGTAGGACTTGCTATTCCTTTTAAATGTATAATAAAGTTTATCATGTAACTTTATTTTTTTTCCCTTTTTTTCCCTTCCCCCCACCCTAGAAATGGCTACCATTAGGCATTATGTGTGTGTGTGTGAGTAAAATCATTCTATACATCTGTTTATCAGTTCTTTCTCTGGATGCAGATTAGTGTAGTCCTTTCATAGATCCTTTGTAGTTAATTTGGATATTTCTAATAGTCAAAATGACTGATTTACTCAGAGTTGTTCTTACAACAATATTGTCGCTGTATACAACATTCTCTTGGTTCTGCTCATTTCACTTTTCATTATTTTGTGCAAGTCTGTCCATGTTTTTCTAAGATCATCACGCTCATCATTTCTTACAGCAGGAGTATTCCATCACAGTCATATACCACAACTTGTTCAGCTGTTCCTCAATTGAGGGGTTTCTCCACAATTTCCAGTTCTTTGCCACTACAAAGAGAACTGCTGTAAATATTTAGAACATGTAGGTTCTTTTCATTTTTCCCTTGTCATCTTGGGAAACAGACCTAGTAGTGATATTGCTAGGTCAAAGGGTATAAACAATTTAATAATTCTTTGAGCTGATTCTAGATTGCTCTCCAAAATGGTTGGATCAGTTCACAGTTCCACCAACAGTGAATTAGTATCCCAGTTTTTCCACATCCCCTCCAACATTTGTCACTTATCCAACTTCAAACATTTTAGCCAGTCTGATAGGTATAAAATGATATCGCAAGGTTGTTTTAATTTGCATTTCTCTAAATAATTATTTGGAGCATTTTTTCATATGACTATACGTTGTTTTGATTTCATCAGAAAACTACCTGTTCATACCCTTTGACTATCAGTTGGGGAATGATGTATTCTTACAGATTTGACAAAATTCTTTATATATTTTAGATATGAGACCTTTATCTGAGAATTTGTCTGTAAATTCAGCCCCTCCCCAGTTTTCTGCTTTCCTTCTGCTCTTGGCTACATTTGTTTTATTTGTGATGGGGGCGGGGCCCAAGCCAAGATCTTTACCCTTTGCCCCAAAGGGAATCTGACTCACAGGCCGCAGACCCTCATCTCCCTTTGAAAGCCTTAGCCTTACCTTTTAATCTTATTCAGATGCTCCCTAAAAGAATCTGGCTGCCTTTTGTCTGTAGGCCCCAGAAAGGCCTTCTCTGGTCTCAGACTGTTCCTTATCAACTCCCCTTATCTCCTTTTGAAAGTCCTAGCCCCACCCTTCGATTTTGTGCAGATGCCTTTCAAACTTCTGCCTTCCTGTTCCCTCCATTAGCTATTCCCATTGTCTATTCAATCTCTCAGACCTCCCCAATTAGAATTCTTACCTAGACCCTTTTCCCAGCCCCCTTCTCTGGCCACCCAAAGTTACTTTGGTGTTTAAGATCTACCTTGGCCCTCATTCAGATGCTGAGAATCTCAGGCCTACAAAGCTGAGAACCTCTCATGCCTCCTCCTCTTTACAGGCATCACCTGGCCTGTATGTTTTATCACTAATAAGCTTTTCCTGTGGCCGAAGATTTGAGTTGAATTCTTTCAGGCAGGGCCCGGTACTGCGATCTTGGGGTTCTAGCAGCACCCCAAAAGTCCTAGGCCTCTTCATTTGTACAAAACCTTTTTAATTGAATATAATCGAAATTATCCATTTTATACTTCACCCTGCACTATTTCTTGTTTATTCATAAATTATTCACCTATCCGTAAGTCTGATAGGCAATATATATCATGTTCTTCTAATGTTCTTGTAATGTCTCTATAGCTAAGTCATGTATCCATTTTAATTTTATCTTGGCAAACTGTGTAAGATATTAGTCTGTGCCTAATTTCTGCCACTGTTTTCAGTTTTTCGCTGTTGTCTTATGAGTGAAAGTGCCAAGTAATGGAGTTTGGACTTGGTGAGAAGTGAAAGCTCTTCTTCAGCAGAGAAACAGTATGGTCAGAGCTCAATGTTAGGAAAGATGACTTTGGCAGTTGTGAATAGTGTGACTTGGAGGAGGGGAGAATGGCACTGATGGGATAGATGTGGGGTGTGAGGATGGAGAAAGTCAGGGATGCTTAAAAGAAGGGAGCTTTGTTAGACCCTGGGGTACAGCTTCCTGCCAGAAGCTATTCATCAAAGATTTCCCAAGCCTCCACTCTGTGAAAGCCCCATCCAGGCCTAGTTATGTGAGAGACAAACTCAGGAAAGTCAGCTCAAGAGTCTGACCTGACCTCACCTGACCTGACTTGAGGGTTTCTTTTGTTTCCAGCTAAAGGTGAGGGGTGTGGGTTCTTGGAATCCTGTCCAGCGTTCTGTTGTGGGAACTGCATCTTCAAATTTTGTTGCTCAGATGTGCTGAAGAAGATTGATGACAACATTCTGTGCCCTGGGGAGAGGTATGTGTCCTGGGAAGGTGGGGAGGGAGCCTCCTGCCTCAGAGCTCTGCAGATAGGGACTTTTCAGACAGGAGCCAGGGCTTGGCGGACTCTTGAAGCATGCTCCAGATATGCTTGCTGCTCTAGCATTGATGACCCAGGTTTGCTTTAGTTGTGAGTAGTTTTACAAAGACATAAAACCCATGAATGCACGAAGTGCTAAAATCCAAAAGGGCTCCTTAGCAGAACAAATTGTTTTATGTTGTAGTGTGTGGGACAGCTATCCTTATTTCCAATAAATTCAGAGGCTTCTCCAGGTAGAAGGCAGAAAGGAATTTTTATTACAATCTCGCGAGAAAGGGCGGCCCGCACTGAAAAACCTCTCCGTGTCAGGGCGTGCTGAACATAGATATAGCAGGTTTTTATGAGGCCCTCCCCAACAGTTCATCTCCCCACTCCCCAAGCCTTGAAGGTAAATCTTCCCGGAGATAGTGACAAACAAACAGATGTGGTTATCTTGAAATGTTCGAATTCTGCAAATCCCTGCAAAATTCCTGTCCCCCCACCCAGGGTCCCCTGCAGACACGATACAACCATTTGTTCACACAGTTGGGCAAAAGGCCTGCATTTTGAGTTTAGATTTTATGAGGGGTTTTCACCACATTCCATTCAATCCCTCCTCTCATTGGCTCATTGAAAACCCCTCACACCACTCCCCATACTTTTTTCCCTTCACTATCTCATCCTGTATCTCTGACCCATCTGACATGATTCTGTATCATTATTTTCTTGGATCCCTCTGCCCTAACTTCTAATTGAAGTAATTTTGAGAGAGAATCCTTGACTAACCATAAAATTTGTCTATCATGTCTTCTTTGTTGCCTCCTTTACTTCCTTACTCTTTTTCTCATCTGAATTCTTCCTCTTATCCATAACTCCTTTAAAATATGGGAAGGATTGATCTACACATTGACAAATCAAGGGGGCAGTCCCCTTTTTAAATGCAGATACAGAGACCCAAAAGGAAACAATATTGCAATTGTCCCTTTAAGATTCAAGAAGTCTTTTCCTATACAGCTGTCTGGCAGGGAAGAAGTCCTTTGGTCTGTCATTGGTATTTGTTCCAGCCACCTCCAGCACAGCATCTCAGCATCTTCTTCTTGTCTTCTTGTAGGAAACAGCTTTCTGTCCATCCTCCTACAAAAGTGACCTTAGCACAATTTTAAATTACCATTTCTAATCCTTATAACCCTGATCATTTTTACAAACTCAAAATTGGAACCATGGCCAGTCATCATGTTTAAGAAATTCACATCAGGACTCAGTGTCTCATACTTTACATTAATCCATTATTAATTTCCTCAACAGGAGGATGAGATTTCACCAAGGAATTAATAGTAGGCTCCAGTACATACATAAATATATTAAATAATCAATTTTGACACAGTACATATAAGATCTTAAACTTTTAGTCATGCCATGTTTCTTTGATGGCATTTACAAAATACACCACAAGCCATTCTTCTTTTAATGTAACAAAACTCTAGACAATGATATTAACCAAATAACAAACTAACATTCTCACAAGCCCCTGACCTATTGTCTCCATACCATCACCAAGAATTAACGAACTCTAACTCATACGGGAACACACACAGGAACACTAGTCCCAGTTCTATAGTAACCTAAGATGTTTCAGAATCAATTATTTTAGTAAATTTGCTACTGTACTTGCAAACCTTCTGATTATAGAAACTTGCCTCTAAGAGACTTACGAGTCTCTTAGTAATAATACATATATATATATGGGACTTATAATAAGGGAACGATATTTCCGCAACTTCTGTCAACTCCTGGCAGAGTGTTATGTCAAACTGCAAACTGCATTGAGCCAGGCTTAAAGTCTGCCAGGTGTCATAATGGGGAAATTGAGTCAGGAGACTCCTACCTCAGCCATGCAGAAAAGTCATTCTCCTGACCTTCCCATGGGAATATCTTCTTGCAGCTCATAGGTGCAGCTCACAAATCTCTTTGCAGGTTGCTGATGTCATGGGTCAGGAGGCTCAATCAGTTCTTTGTTAACCATACCTGGAGTTAGACTCAAAATAATAGTTCATTAACAGATTCCAAGGTCTTAGATAGCAGATTCTCCTCATCAGAGTTTCAGGTGTGACTATGTTCTCACACATTAATTAGGGAACACTTCCAAAGTGAGCTCTAAGTAGCTTGCATAACTTCCTACACATGTTATAGTTCCTAATAACATCCAAAGTAAAATCAAATTTCCATTAAGATCATAAGTTGCTACTCTAAATAGATTTGCCTTTCTGTTTCTCAAATGTATCTATCCCTCTCAAACCATCCTTAATCTGAAAGAATGAAACACCTTCAGGACTTGAATCTTATACATATAAGTTCAAATAGTAATTTTAGTTCTTTCTAGGCCATGGAATGAATTCAGATCAAAACAGTCAACACACACACAGATCAATTGCCAGTTTTAAGTTTTAACTTTAAAACAATAACCAACAATCTTACGATTTTCATAAGCGATTTTCATAATTTTCGTAAGCGATAACTAAATTGTTTTAGCTGTAACATAAACAGTAAACTTCAGATGGCAACAACTGTGTTTCCAGATCATGTAAAATTATTGATAGAAGGATGGGCTGGTTTCTTTACCTTGACCCATCTTTCTCCAGGCTGTAGCTGCTGCCCCTCCCCCTCCTCCCTATAACCAGGCAGGGGAAGGTGAATTTACAGGCAGGGAAGAGGGGAGGGTAAAACACTCTCTTAATCCCCACACAGAGAAGCCCCCTTGAGTCAAGGGGGGGGGGAGTGGGGGAGAGGAGTGACAAGATTGTAAAAAAAAACAAAACTCCTTAATGATCAATCTCAAAAACTTCCAGAATCTGTTAAGACGTTTTAGCTGTCCTATCTTTTTCGCTTTTACATCCACCCCTTAAAAACTTAGAGTGGGGCACTGAACTTTCAGATCTACATTCTTGAGACCAGTGTCCTTTCTTATGCTACCTGAAGCTCAAACTGTTCCTCTGAAAAGTACCCATTTAAGGCCAATTCAAGGACACAACATACCTAGGAATGAAACTTAGAAAATTCACATTAGATTCGGAGGTAACTGTTATCAGTATCAAATTATTGCAACAAATTAGCTTGCAAAAGGAATTTTAGTAGGCCCTCTAAAAGAATATCAAAGATTTTATCAAAACATCTTCTTCATAAAAGTATCTCCTTTTCTGAAAAACAGCTTATCATTTCCTAATTACCATTGTCAACCTGAACATTGGTTAAAGAGACCACAAGCTAGTGTTAAGTGACATTCCACCCTGACTCAGGACGTCTGGGTTACTCAGTTTCATGGTCTCCAAATGTTTAACCTGAGCATGAGAAAAGAAATTTAAATAAGATAGGCAAATGTCAGATCCAGGACATCTGGGTCTCCTTTACCACTGTCAAGGTAGTGTCTGGGTTAAAGGCTCCTCAGTGGTCATAAACATAAGAATGCTCTTGATCAGCATTCTTAGCTCACTCAGGAGAAAAGATCAGTTCCGGTTTTTGGCCCTTATTGGGGCTCAGTTGATCCTAGTTACCTGATTTCTTTAGTCCAGAGGTGTCTGCAATGGGCCACTTAATCAGTAAAACGAAAACTCCTGCACAGGATTGATAAGAATTATGAGATTTTACAAAATCTTACTTGGCATAATTACATAGTTTCTTTACACACACAAAAATACTTCTACCAGTAATCCACTTAAACAGTAACTCCAAATAGCTTAGTTAACAATTTTAAACTTCATAGGTGAGAGCCAGATAATCCCAGCTAAAACTTTCCTTTAAACAGAGAAAACTTTTAAGTTCTCATTTCTGAAATATAGTACTTAAAAGGGAAATGTTACAGAACAGGGTCCTATAGAATACCCCAACAGCCTTTACCCATTCTTTTTCTCTTTTCTCTGAAGGCACAATTCTTAATTTAACATTCTAGGTTATAAAATGAATTGCTCTTCCAACAACATAACTAATACAATTGCTTACCAGATTACATCACATAAGAAAATTCAGAAATATGTAAGTAGTATATTAAAAACTTGGAACGGACCCAATTAATTATTATTTTTAAAAAAACACCCTTTTCTTTCTGAACCCCTTCACCAGGTTCAACAGTCTCCTGGGGCCACTCCCATCCCACTAGACTGGCTCTTCTTTATTATCTATGGAGTCTAATAGCCATGGGCCACATCCAGATTCAACCCCAATGACACTACTTGGCCTAAACTTCCCCACGCAAGCTAGTCTCTGCCAAAAGAGCCTGGCTCATATATCCCCCAACAAACCCAATAGTTAGCCTAAAGAAGGCCTGGGTCGAAAAGCATATATATATATACACACATTTTTCTATTTTTCCAATTTCTAATTGAGGCCCTGATATGAGAGAATACCTCACTAATTCCAAATATATATCAATAAGTTTTTCCACAATAAAACATGTTTGGTACCACAGGGCATTCACTATAAAAGTGGTTATCTTGAAATGTTCGAATTCTGCAAATCCCTGCAAAATTCCTGTCCCCCCCCCCCCAGGGTCCCCTGCAGATGCCATACAACCATTTGTTCACACAGTTGGGCAAAAGGCCTGTATTTTGAGTTTAGATTTTATGAGGGGTTTTCACCACATTCCATTCAATAGGATCCTAGGTGTAAGGCCACTGCATTTTACAGATCACAAATACAGAATTTCAGAGTTGAGGGTTCAGAGGTCATCTGCTCGAAAAGGTCACTTAGATGAGTCTCTTCTACCACACCTTCAAGGAACGATCACCCAGCCTTCATTTGAAGATAGCTAGTGACAGTAAAGACATTGTGTCTAGAAAAAGAACCTTCTACTCTTGAATAGCACTAATTGTAAAGAAGGTTTTCCTTACATGAAATTTTGAATTGTGTTGTGAATTTTGTCTTTTTACAACTTCTAATTATTTATTGTTCCCTGTCTTGCTTACTGGGATTAGGCAGAAGTCTGTTCCTATTTCTATGTGACTATCCTTCAAATGCTTTTGTCATGACTTCATTCTTCTCTTCTCTGAGGTTGTGGTTTGTCCTTCATTCTCTAAGAGTACAGTGACCTCAGGGAGATGATGACATGACTTACATTGAATTGGATTTGAGTGAGGGAGGGCTGTGCGAAGTCACCAGCCTGACTTCATGAGGCATGTATTCTTCATGGCTTTCACCCTTAATTAATTTCTTCAGAAAGTCATTTGTTTTAACAAGAACTTGGCTCCCTAAGAAGGCAAGTCTGGAAAAGTTAAAAAAAAAACAGAGAAATCTGAAAAGTACATAGTATTTCTTATTTCTAGAGAAACTGCAAAGGAGGGTTTTATACTTCCACATCACTGATCCATTTGGTCACTCACATTCTTGTTGATTTTGTTATGATCTCATGTTTGGAAGAGCTGGTTTGGTGTGGGGTAGACAATGGACCTTGAAAGCCAAGAAAACCTGGCTTCCAGTTCTGCCTCTGATATACTGGCTGGGTGACCCTGGGCAAATCACTTAACCTCTTTTTTTTTTGTTTTTGTTTTTAGGCAATTGGGGTTAAGTGACTTGCCCAGGGTCACACAGCTAGTAAATGTCAAGTGTTTGGTCTGAGGCCGGATTTGAACTCAGGTCCTCCTGACTTCAGGGCCAGTGTTCTATCCACTGCACCACCTAGCTGCCCCCGCTTAACCTCTTTAGGGTGCTTTAGGCAACTTTTTCTGCTGATCTGCACTGCTAGGGGTGTTTACTTATGTGAGAATTCCCATATTTCATTTGAATTCTGCCTTTTTAGTGTTATTTACACTTAGGTTATTGTAGTCATTGGGTCTGTTGTTCTCCTGGTTCTGCTTTTGTCTTTGGATCAGTTTATATGTTGTCCCAAAGTGCTCTGAGTTCTTCATGTTTGTTATTTCTTGTGGCGTGATAAATTCTGTTATGCTGATGATTTATGTTCAGTCATTCCCCAATCCATGGGAGCCTGCTTTATTTTCAGGTTGTTTTGGTTGGTTGGTTTTTGTTTTTCCTATCACAAAAAGCACTGGTATGAATATTTTGGTGTATATGAGATCTTTTTTGTTGTTGTTGTTGGAATTTGCTCTCCAAAAGTGGGATCCATGAATCCAAAGATACTACCAATATTGCCTCCATTTTATAAAACAGGCTCAAGTTCAAAGAGGGCAACTTGTGGGGAGTCACAGCTAAGAGCCAGGATGGAATCTATGAAAAAGAAAAGAGTTGTTCTTATGTCAGGGACCCCTCAGGCATTCTGGGCAAGCCACTGGTCTCCCCCTCAGAATGATGGTTTTAAGTGGCTAAAGCAAAATGTATAACTTTACAAAGGAAACCACTTCTTTTGAAATATAGTTATCAAAATATTATAAATAACCAAGTTCACAGATCCCATTAGAACCCCTAGACCTTGGCAGAGATACTGGAGTGTTTGCCATTTTCTTCTTCAGTTCATTTTACAGATGAGGAAATTGAAGCAAACAGGGTTAAGTGACTTGCCCAGGATCACAGAGCTAGTAAATGTCTCAGATCAAATTAGAACTCAGGTCGTCCTGACTCCAGGGCCGATCCTCTATCCACTGCACCACCTAGCTGTCCCCAGTTTTTGATTAGTAATAGCAAAATTACTATGGTTTTTAAAAGAGTTCAGCCTAGAAGGCTGTGCTGATCCTTGGGACTGGAGCCTCTGCTAATTCATCCTAATGTGGCATAAGTTTCTGGATTTTGCTTCTTGTATGTTTTCCTTCTTCATTGTGTTCTTATTGTGTTTTCTTTTCAGATCAATAAAGTGGGAAGAAAAAGACAAGAAAATGACGTTTGACTTTGACCACAGCCCCCCACCAGGGTAAATTCTTCCCTTTTGTTTTGTGAATATTCATCTGCCATCTCTGGGAGGGTAGAGCTTATAGACAGGAGTGGGAACTATAGATGGCCTCATTGCAAGTGGAAAAAGGTAAGTGTTAGCTTAGGAGCCTGGATTCTCACAGGGGTCAGGAAATGTGTAAATGAGCATAGAAAGTCAAAGATAATGGTCAGTTGAAGAGATATTAATGAGCATGAGGTATAGACTAGGCAGGGAGATAGATTGGCACAGGAGTCCTAGAGGCAGATCATAAGCAAGTTCCGAGGTAATTGCACCTGGGTAAACTGAGGGGTATGATAGCTGACTCTCTCTAGGGGAACCTTGTGGTAGGCAGCATCTCATTCCACCCTGTACTACCTGCCTGTTCTAGGGACCCCTGCACATTTGCTCTTATGAATCGTTTGTCTCAAGTAATGAACCCAAAGGCTTTTCTGCCTTCCCTTCCTATCTTTTTAATTTATGACTCTGAGCTCTGATTTCATGCCCAGCTTGGTAGGAGATAGGACATAATCCATAATCCATGGGAATGGATCAGGGTGAGGTGCTATATGTTAACTATATGGGATGATTATGGGCTTGGCAAGGTGAGGCCTGAGGGGCTCACTAGCCCTGTACGGAATGTTCATGTGCAAGTTGGTTTTTACTGGAGGTCGCCATTAGTGTTTAGGTATTCATCTACATGAGTTTGTCTTTAAGCATCACAGTGTGGACTTGCGTGATATCCTGTCTATGTCTATGCAGGAGTTTCTGTGTATTTTTGAGTTTGTGTGCACCTGTGTGTTCTTCTTGTACCTGGGAAGGGATACTCTGTGTGACTTACGCCTGTGTTGTTTGAAGTGTATGTCTATGTATATGTCTGCACATGCATGATTTTGTGTTGAGAGTATTCCCTGGGAGAATCACATTAGTTAACAAGTATTTATTAGGTGTTTACTATGTGCCAGGTAATATGTTGAGTTCTAGAGTTAAAAAGAAAGGCATTAATTTGTGATGGATCCACTCAACACAATTTCATGATTTTCTCCATCTCCATTCAGCAGTACATGAATGGAAATGAAAGAAGTAGAAGTAATTCCGAGTTAAAGTTTGACAGGGAGTGATTGTGGATGGGACTGAGGGTCAATGGATTCAAGAATAGAGGCTGGTATAAAGTTGAACTGGTTCACCAAGGAAGGAAAATAGTATATCCAGTACAAGGGTGATGACTCAGGAAAGAACTGAGGAGTAGAGGTAATGGGAGGTTATGGTTGAGGATGAAGGGTAGGGTCAGGGGGTTGTAAGGTGCAGGGAAAAATAGAATGATGAAAGATTATGATCAGCTAAAAGAATTTCAGAGTTCATGATGTTTATGAAGTAGAACACTTGTGGGTATGACAAAATTTAAGGGTATGACCATTTCTGTTTGGGGTTGAGGAGCTATTATATAGATCACTGGTTAGTGAATCTGGCCCCTCACTTGTTTTGGTACAGCTGGCCAGCTAAGAATAGTTTTTACATTTTTAAATTTGTAAAACTTTATTTAAAAATGTAAAAACCATTCTTAGCTCATAGGGCCTGCAGCCTGGATTTGGCCTGGGTACCATAGTTGGTTGACCCCTGGCATAGACTGAGAAACTAGGAAATTAGTATATTTTAGAGAGGATAAATATGTTTATTGCATTTGCCTAGTATGGTGGCAGGAATTGGGATGGAGAAAAAGACTGTGAACCAGGTACCAAATTCATTGACAAAGGAGAATGTTCAAGGGGTCAACAGTTGGATCTGGCTTGGGTGACAAATTTGGATCATGTGAAACTTGGAGGAGGAAAGGTTGTTCCGAGATGGTGGTAAAGGCACAGTCTGGAAGGAGCTAAAGGGGAGCAAGGGGTGGTTTTATTCTCCCACCAATATGGGTGAATCTGAGAGGTAAGAGAGAAAGTATAGTCAGTACTGAATGGGATGGCTAGGGAGCTATGTCTGGAATGGGGTAATGAGGGGTTAGGGTTGAGGAACCTAGGAGTTGGGGATAGTGACTAGGGTTTATACAACAGTAGCCAAGGATTCAGAATTACTGAGCTTAAAGGGCTAAAGATTTCACTGAAGAAGGTGTTGGGTTTTCTTCCCCTGTAATTGAAACCTTGCAAGCTTGAGGGTCTGTACATCCTGTTTTTTGAGTCAGGTAGGTTGTTTTCTCTGGGCATTCATGGTGATAGCATTATATTAGAATTGCTCTGTTATATCCAGTTTGTTATTATATGAAAAGTGCTGTTGTATTGGTGCCCAGGCTGCAGCTTACCTTGCTGAGAGCATCTTTCCATGATCCCAGGGCCCTTCCTGCCTGCCTGTTAACCCCTTGACTTCCCACCACTTCAGTTAAGCTCTCCTTGAGAGCAGGGACAGTCTTTTGTCTTTCTTTTTATCCCCAGTGGTTAGCACAGTGTCAGGTACATAGTGCAGGTTCTTAATAAATGCTTGGGTAGTGGTGGCACATGCCAGTTGGTGCTGTTACCGTGCTTAGGACTTAGTTTCTGACCAGGAGGTGCTGTGGTGTGCTGGATTTTTTTAAGGTTCCTGTTCCCAGCTGTTTGTTTTACACGGGCACTTCTAGTCAGAGTCCTTGTACTTTGTCCTTTGTAAAGTACCCGGAGGGAGGTACAAGTGGAGCCATCCTGGAGCCCCTGAGTTAGGCCACTCTGTGTGCTCAGTGAGTACATCCCAGCACTTTATGCCTTGTGCCCCCCTGTGCTAAGCCTTTGCTTGGTGTTTGGAACTGTGGCTTTTTTGTGGAGGCTCTGAAATGAGTTTGCAATCTAATGGGAGTTGGGAATGGACTGTGACATACAGATGTGTAGGTATGATACCAGGTAGAATGTGAACAGTGTGAAGGACAGATGTAGATAAAGTGCTGTAAGAGATTTGTGGGGGGAGCAGTCAGTTTCACCTGGGGTGGGGAGGGGATGTGGATGAGGGAAGGCTTTATGAGAGAGCGTAGCTCCTGTGAACAGAGTTTAGAGGAGGAGGCGACTTTCAGTGTCACAATGGAGGACATTTTGGGCATAGGGATGACCTGTGCCCAGGAATGGAGGCCAGAGAGTACAGATTGACATCAGGGAACAGCTTGTAGTACAGTTTGGCTTTTACACAGAGAGCATAAAATGGTAATAAATAAACATTTATTAAGCACTTGCTGTGGTCAGATAATTGTGCTAAATGTCATTGATAGATCCAAAGAAAAGCAAAAGGCATCCATCCCTTGCCCTCCAGGGGTTCACAGTCTGATGGAGGGGACAACATGCAAATAACTATGTGTCTACAAGCCACATACAGGATAAATAGGAAATAATCAACAAGGGAAGGCACTGGAATTAAGAGGGACTGGGAAAGGCTTCTTATACAAGTTGGGATTTTAGCAGGAACTTGAAGGAATCCAGGGAAGCCAGGAGGCTAAGTTAAGGAGGGAGAGTGTTCTGTGCTTGAGGAGCAGCCAGTGAAAATGCCCAGAGCCAAAAGATGGAGTGTCTTGTTTGAAGGCTAGCAAGGAGGCTGTGTCAATATGAGATGTAACAAAACTGTAAAGTAGGGGGTCTGTTATGAAGGGCTTTTAATGCTAAACAGGATTTTATATTTGATGCTGGGGCTGATAGGGAGCCTCTAGAGTTTCTTGAGTAGGGGGAGCAGGGTGTTTATGACATGGTCAGACCTGTGTTTTAGGCAAATCACTTTGCTGAGTGGAAGATAGATTGCAGTGGGGAGAGACATGTGAGTGGGTAGACCTGTGAACAGGCCACTGCAGTAGGTCAAGTGGGAGGTGATGAGGGCCAGAATTGGGGTCACCACTGAGAAAGGTGAGATAGGCATTGAAAGGTAGGTTGGGCCAGATTATAGATATTCTTCAATGCCAACTTAAGACATCTATATTTTATCTTTTGGGTGGTAGGCAGCCCCAGAAAGTTTTTGAGCAGAGGTCTGATTTGTGCATTAAGAAGATTATTTGGGCTGCTAGGGAAAGCTTCTAGGCTAAGGAGATGAGTTAGGTAGGAGAGCATGATAATAGTCTAGGAGAAAGGTAATGAGGTGCTGAATTAGAGTGGTCAAGGTTAACTCAAGATTTGGTGTTTGATTGGATGCAGTAAGGTGGGGAAAGGGGAAGAGTCAAAGATGAGGACAAACTTGGGGCCCTGGAAGAAACAGGAAAACTAGAAGGAAAGAAATATTTTTCAGGAGATGAGTTCAGTTTTAGACATAATGAGTTCAGGGTAGTAGTGGGACACCCAGGTGGAGAAGTCCACAGTAATGCTTACTTAACTGTATTGAATTGGATGGACTTAGAAACATGGGATTGTATCTCAGAGCCGTGTGTGTGTGTGTGTGTTCTACAGAGAGGGAATAATTGAAACTATGAGAATAAATTATATTACTTAAGGGAAAGAGAAGGAAAAAAGGTGAAGGACAGAGCCTTGAAACTATGAGAATAAATGATATCACAGAAACAGGGAATAAAAGAGGAGAGAGCCTTGAGGAATGCCTAGATTTAATCAGTCAGCTAGCATTTCTTAAGTGCCTACTATGTGCCAGGCACAGTGGATACAAAAAAAGGGTGAAAAACCAAACACAACAAAACAGTCCCTGCTCTCTAGGAGTTCACAGTTTAATGGGGGAGATAACATGTAAACAACTTTGTAGCCACAAGATAATCTCAGAGGGAAGGCAGGAAAGGCTTCTTGGTTTTGGGTGAGGGGAGAGAGTGATAAACCAGTGAAAGGAGCCTGAGAGATTTATCTGAAATATCAGAGGAGAATCAGAGTAGGCCCATACCATAAAAGCTAAAAGAGAAGAGACTAGTAAGAAGTGTGAACAGTCTCAAATACCATAGAAAGGTCAAGAAGTTAATGACTGAGGAAGAAGTCTTGGGACTTAACATTTAAGAAATAATTGATGACTTTAGAGGTTTAGTAAATGGGTGGGGACTAAAACCTGCTTATTTGCAGGAGTATAGGAAGGGGGATGGTGGGAGTGATGAAAAATGCAAAACAAGCTTTAAAAAATCAGCAACAATACATAATTGTGCTTGTGACCCAACAGCCAACAAGTCAAGAATTATATCTGACTTTTCTTCTTTCCCACCTTGACACTGCCTGTCTCCTGCACCCTTGTAGTCTGCCTAGTGCTAAATCATCCCTGTACATTCCGCCTCTGCAGTTTGTAGAAACCTGCTTCCAGGATGGCTTCCATCCTAAAGGATTCTCTGGCTTTGGCTGTTCCACCCACCAGTTCTTAATCCGTACAATTGTACTCTTGTCCCATATATTGTTCTCCATATTGTTTACTAGTGTATTAGGAGAAACTTGATCAGATGCCTTCCTGAAATTCTTCTACTCACTGCATTCACCTGATCTACCAATCTAGTGAAATTAATCTGTCAAAAAGAAAGGTAAATTATGTTATACCTGACGTAACTTTTTTGTGAACAAATGCTGGCTACTAGTAATCACTGCTTCTCATTTTAAAGGCTCATGAATCATACATTTAATAATCCATTCAGTATTTTGCTGGGGATTTATGTCAAGAATTATATAGTTTCTAAAATTGACCTTTTAGAAAATTAAGATATTTTTCTCATCTCTGGTCTTCTGGTGCCATCTAAATTCTCTGTGACCCCTTGAAGGTCACTACTGATGGGGTTGGGATGGGGGCCCTAGAAAGGAAAAACTCTGGACTTTCCCACTTGGACAAATCTCTGACGGTCACCCGAGGCTATAATCCCATCAACTGGCCTTTCATTGTGGCTACATCCAATCTCCCCTCCATTGCCTACCTCCCTATGGCCCCTGGCCATTTCCCACACTTAATCCTAGCTAGGCCCACCAGATCTCCTTAGGCCCCTCCTCCAGTCACCGCCTAACTACTTGGCCACTCCTAGATCCCTCCCACAGGCTTTCTGTATATAAGGTCCATCTTGTCTCCATTAAGATGCTCTGGTTCTTATAATCTAGCCACTGCTCAGATTCCTAAAATCTAGCCAATAGCTTACTAATGTTCAGACTCCTTAAGAGTCTGCCCAGTATGATGTTGATGTTCTACTAAACCTTGTCTTTGGCTGAAAGAAAGCTTGGGTCTAATTCTTTTGGGCAGGACCCTCGTGTTGTGATTTTGGGGTCCCAGGACCCCTGAACCCCTAAACTGCATCAACTTTAATGGTTTTTAGCATATTGAGGTATAATTCATCTAGGCTATCATGTATATTTCTTTTTCTTTTTTTTCCTACCTTCCTTCCCCTCTTAGAGATATGGCTATCATTAGATGCAAATAGATATCTATCTATATCTATATCTATATCTATATCTATAAAATTATTCTATACATTCTTCTAATTTATTCTTTCTCTGGATGCAGATAGTCCTTTAATTTTATGTATTTGTGTTTTTATAATAGTCAAAAGGGCTTAGTTACTCAAAGTTGTTTTTAAAACAATATTGCTGTTACTGTACACAATGTTCTCTTGGTTCCATTTATTTTCACTCTTCATCATTTCATGCAAAACCATTCTTCTATTCACGGGTATCCCCGTAATTTTCTGTTCTTTGCCACCACAAAGGGAGCTGCTATAAACATCCCATTCATGTTCAAAATTATAACTACTATTTGTAAATTCCCCCCCATCTTATTTTTATTCATTATTTTCTTTTTCAGCCTCTCTTTTCTTTCATCCCTATTATCCTCCCTGCTTGACCCGCTCCTCTTATGGAAATGTTTGTTTTGTTCCCTGAGTTGAAAATAAAATAAATTTATCTACAGGTTGGAGACTTGAACTCAGGTTCGAAGAGCTTTTGATTGTTCTTCATCTAAGGCTTTAGTTTCTTCTTTTGTCTCTCCCAGTTTAAAGGCCACTCTTCTTTTCTGGAGAAAAGTTACTTCACTACCCTGCAATCTGTTAAGAGTGTGCTCTCTGTTTCAAGTAATGGTGCTCTCTTTTCTTACTTCCTCCAAAGCTTTGAGGGGGAAAAAAAAAGGCATGCAAAAAACCTGTATCCTTTTCTGTTATCCTAAAGTGTTGCCTAAGCATCAGCTCATTTTGGGTTTTAGCCTCACTTTAGTCTGTGCTAAACTTATGTATTTGTTCTATAGCTTTATGTTCCTCCTATCTTTTGCGTATCCTGTTAAAATCACCTGTCTCTTTAGCCATCATCCCATATTTCTGGTTATTGGCATGAGTTGTGTTTGTCAGAACAAGCTGTCCCTCTTTTTTTTTTCAATATTTATTTTAAAAATTTTATTCTGATTCAAACATTAAAAAAATCAATAATTTCCAGACAGAGCAGAACCTGAGGATTATATATAAAATTACAAATCTGCATCTCATACGGTTTTCATTTATTTTTATTTTTAATATATTTTATTATATTAAGTATTTCCCAATTATATTTAAAAATTTTTAATATTCATTTTTAAACAATTTTTGAGTTCCAAATTCTCTTCCTCCCTCTTGCCTCTCTTCCCACTGCCTGAGAAGGCAAAAATTGTTGGGAAAACCAGAAAGCAGTTTGGCAGAAATTAAACATAGACCAGCATCTCACACTATGTACCAAGATGTCATCAAAGTGCATAAATGATTTAGACATAAGGGGTAATATATCAGTAAATTGAGGAGAGGGGTATGGAAAAATTTGCCTGTCAGATCTATATAGATAAGGGAAGAGTTTATGACCAAACAAGAGATAGAGAGGATCATGAGTGGTAAATTGGATAATTTTGATTACATAAAATAAAAAAAAAACTTTTGCACAAACAAAACTAATGAAGCCAAAATTAGAAGGAAAGCAGGAAACTAGGGAAAACAATTTACACCAAGTTTCTTTGATAAAGGCCTCATTTTTCAAATGTATAAGCATCGGGGCAGCTAGGTGGCACAGTGGTTAGAGTACCAGCCCTGTAGTTCGGGGGACCTGAGTTCAAATCTGACCCCAGACACATAACACTTACTAGCTGTGTGACTGTGGGCAAGTCACTTAATACCAATTGCCTGACCAAAAAGAATAAATAAATATATAAGGAGCTGATCTAAATTTATAAAAATACAAGCCATTCCCCAATTGATAAACAAAGGATAAAAAAGGATAGTCACAGGCCATTTTCAGAAGAAAAAATCAAAACTATCAATAACCACAAGAAAAATTGCTCTAAATCACCATTGATTAGAGAAATGCAAATTAAAGCTACTCTGAAATACTACCTCATACTTATTAAATTAACTAACATGACAGAAAAGGAAAATGACAAATGCTGGAGGGGATGGGGAAAAATAGGTACACTAGTGCACTGTTGGTGGAACTGTGAACTGGTCAAACCATTCTGAAGAATGATTTGTACTTATGCACAAAGGGCTATAAAACTTCATACCCTTTGACCCAACAAGTGAACTACTAGGTCTGTATGCCAAAGAGATCAAAGAAAAGGGCAAAGGACCTATTTGTACAAAAATACTTATAGCAGCTCTTTTTGCAGTAGCGAAGAATTGGAAATTGAGAGTAATCTTTATATATTATATATTATATGTAATGGCATATCATTATTAATATTATTATCATATTATTAGTCCTTTCCTCTCTCTGGGCCTCAGTTTTCTCATCTGTAAAATTAGGCAGTAGATTTATATACTCTCTAGCGTCCCACCTAGCCCCAAATATTGGGGCACTAAGATCTGCAGTTGAGTTTACCTTCTTGAAGGAGATAGAGAAATATTTGGATGAAGGCCTTCACAGGGGAGACCTCACTGATTAGGGAGATAAGATCTGCCTATGTAAAGAATTCTCTGGCTGGGCTGGATTTTGGGCTTTAGGGTTTGTCTTGCTGGCCAGGTCTAGGCTCTGGCTTTTATGATCTAGGCTGAAGTTCTGAGCTTGGTTCTGGGTCTTGGGCTGGATTTTGGGACCTTGTCTGGGTTCTAGACTTATAGGCATTAGGTTGGGTTCTGGGATTCGGGTTGGACCCTAGGTAGGCACTTGTTTAGGGGCTGGGTTCTGAGCCCAGGATTGGGGCTGTATCTAGGCTTTAGGCTTTGAACTAAGGCAAGGCTCTAGGCTTTGGCCCCTGGGCCAAAACAGGGCTAGGCTAGATGGAGACAGGGATCCCCATAACTACAAGGAGCCAGGGAGCAGAGTCTTACAAGGAAAGGTTGAGATAGTGCTTTGGGGGAAATTAGAACCCACCCACGTCAGAAAGGATGTCTTATCCTTGAAAGGGGACTTAATGAATGCATTGTTTTGCCGTGTTGCCTCCCTGGGGGCGGGAAGGAAGGCGCATGTGTCAGTTTGAGGCTCCTCGAGCATGCCCAGGTGTGTTGAGAGCCGAGACTCAGTCTGGGGCTTTTCCTCCGACGTCCGTCAGAGGGCTGAATTGAGGCAGCTTTGGGGAACTGCGGGCGCACGTGTTTACTTTCGTTTTCCCTGAAAGGGGAGGAGAGGAGAGACGGTGCCGGCTGCCCAAGGGGAAGATTATAGGAAGTGCTTCAGCATGTAGTAGGGACAAAGATGGGGTAAGTTTGGGGAGCATGGGTATCTGTGTGCCTGTCAGCGTGTATCCCTCTTGGCTCGCTTGCGCCTGTCTGTCCTTGTATGTCTTCTTGTTTATGCGTGTTTCTTTGTATGTCTCACGCTGTGCGTTTGTGTATAGGAATGTAGCTGATAGTGCCCCTCAGGGTGTTCTTTAGCTTGGTTCCATGTATTGAGACATCCGGGAATAATTAAGCAAAGTCTCCCCACACCTTTGGCTGGAATGCTCAGCTTAAAATTTGCCAATGGAAGAGCACCCCCAAGGGTTAATTTCTCCATGCTTCTTTTTAAAGGACCATCCTTTTGAATCAAGAGTGTTGTTATGGTGGCAATGGCCTGGGCAAATGTTGCTTTCCATATAAATAAGTGGAGAGACATTGGTGAATTAGGGCTGCTTCCCTTGAAAAGTGACTGCTTTTTTCCAGTACCTACTTCCTGGGGTGCAGGAGAGATGCTCTGGTACCTGGATGGCACTGTGGGATAGCACAGTTGGCTACTGACACACCCAGGGATGGGGAGTTGGGGGGGGTGCTTAGGGATAATGGTAGGGAAAGGGATACCTTGCAAGGTGTGGAATAACCCTCTATCTACCTAATCCCCTTGGAATTTGATTGTTCTGTTCAAGGTCAAAAATCCTTTAGCTTGAAGCTTCTTTTAAATAGACCACATTCTCCTCATCACCCCCCCCCTTTTTATTCAAGGGGAGATGGGAGAGAGAAAATGGATTTTTTTTTTCATTAAAAAAAATGTAAATTTTAGAAAGAAACAGACCAGTTCCTTCTGTAGGGAAACAGGAACATATTGTGAGGTGACTGGAGGAATCTTTTATCCTAAGATTGAAAGAGTAACCAGGGCCTCTACCAAAGGTGTCTGTCTGTCCATGTGCCTCCTGTGGACCAGGCCAGATTGAGGCTGATCTTTGAGTGTGGAAAGAAAGGGGAGGGAAGAAAATACCTTCCCCTTCCCAAATGGAGCTGGGTGGGATGTGGATGAGGTTCTGAGCATTCCCAGTTTCTAGCTCCAGAAGAGGTTCTGCTAAAGGAAGCTTGGTAGGTCACTCAGGAGAGGCCTAGGACCTTATTCTGTCAGTGTGTTAAAAAAAAAAAAAGGTTGGATTTGGTTGAATTGGGGCAGCTAGGGAAAGCCTGGAACTCAGGCCCATAGATCATTCATCTCTCTGGAAGGTACCTTTGAGGCCACCTAGTCTAATACTTCATTTTTTACAGTTGGAGAGCTGAAGACAGGGGAACTAAAGGCGTGAAGAAGAGATTTGGGGTTTCTGAAAGTGTTCCCCTCCTCGCTTTTGTCGAGGAACAGAATCCAGCCAGGAGGCATCTGTTCAGTGAGACAAGTGCCCCTGTGCCAAGGTCCCAGTGACAGGTCCCAGGCCAAACTGTTTTCAGTGACTGGACACTTCTGACTGGACCCTGACCCTTTAGGAAAGGTAGGAGGAGGAGAAAACAGAAAAGAAAATCATACGGCCCCAGTAACATATCACAGACCCACCTTTATTAGGACAGGTCTCTCTTGTAGTAAGCAGGTACGTCACAGCTGGGCTTTGCTGTATGGTGAGGAAGTGAGAAAGGATGTGGTAGGAGGAGGGCCATTGACAATCAGCAGATTGTAGTGACTAACCCAGAGGGGCCAGAAAGGGAGTGGAACAGTCAAAGTTGGGATTTGAGGTGTTTACAGAACTTTGGAAACTGAGCAAGGCCACTGACGGGATTCTTCAGGGCCCGGGGGGCCACAGTGTGGGAAGTCATGAGCAGGTATGTCTCAGCTCTAAGGGATCCCTCAGGACCTGTGGGGATGAAAATGTTGGAGGCTGGCCTTCAAGGCTGGATTCTGTTTGTTTGTTTTTTGCTAGGCAGCACCCGGGGTCACACAGCTAGTAAGTGTCTGAGGTCGGATTTGAAATTGGGTCTTCCTGACACTAGGGCTGGTGCTCTATCCACTGTACCACCTAGCTGCCCCCTGGATTATGTTTTATCCTAGAAATTGCTGGTACCCATCTAGCCTGAAGTGGTAAGAGCCAGTTCTGTTTGGTTCGAAGCAGTTTGAAGAAAAGGCCCTTGGGAAAGGGTGGAGGGAAAAGGCTTTCCCCGACTCTCTAGCCCTGGTCATTCTAACCCCAGGGAAAGTGTGAGCCCTCTTGCCGGGCTGAAATAGAGTTTGAGGAAGTGGAGCCCAGCATCTTGGCCCGTCTTCTCGGAGGCAAGGCTAACTTGAAGCCTCGGTTTTGTTCTTTTGGTGATTTAGACATGACTTCAAGCTCAGACCCACCCTTCCTGGGCCTCAGGTTTGAGGTTTACCCTGCGTATAAAAGGCATTTTTCTTAAGTAACCAATTGGAACAGAATCTGGATGAGTCGAGGTAGGCAAGTTCAGTCTTGGGACCCTGTGTTCCCATGGGCCTGTGGAGACAGATGCTGGAAGCCTGTGGGTGGGTCTCAAACTTAGGTCTTTTCACTGTTAAGAATGAGGAGGAAGACCGTATGTGTTTCATAACATGGAGAAAGAGGAGTAAGCTCAGATGAGAACACTAGCTTGGCCCCAAAGAAGAGGTATGAGAGGGAACCACCCTCCCCCCCCCCACTGCCCTGCTTCTTTGCTGAGGTAGGAGACTAGGGGTGTGGAGCCCTCTGTTTAACTCAGAATTTTGACATAATGATTAGTTTTCCTCTTTTTTGTTCTTTGCTACAAGGGATTGATTATAGGATCATAGATTTAAAGCTGAAAGGGACCTGTGACTTGCCCAAGGCTATGCCGGTAGTAAGTGAGAGAGGCAGGATTTGAACTCAGGAACTCTGATTCCAAAGCCAATGATCTTTCTATCTTAGCAACAAACCAGTTGAAAATAAAAACCAGTCCTAAAAGGGATTGACAACAAATTATCCTACTCAGTTCTCTCCAAAACTAAAGACAAAGCCAGTTCTGACTTTGTTTTTCTTTAATCCAGATTTTATAATAGCAAAACTTCAAACCATGAAAGAGGAGTGCACCAGCTAGCCCCACCTTCCACCTGATCAGCTGTAGGTTGATACCCCCACCCCCCAAATTCAGCCTGTTCACATGCTTTTTTTTAAAGCAGTAGTACATAGTTCCTGTGGGCCTTCCTGTACCTGACACAAACCAAGGGGACCCACAGTGGTATGTTGGGTTCTCACTACCATTGCTGGGGAAATGGAAATTAAAGTAATGTAAAGACCAAAGCTACCTATAACATTTATTATTTTACAAAAGAGAAATGCAGAAATGGCAGGTATTCTAAGTTCATAAGGAACTAAGGGATTCTGAGTTCATAGTATCAAGAGATGGAAAAATGAAACATAAGAGCGTCATAGATTTAGAGATGTTCTACTCATACCTCCTCATTTTAAAGTTGAAAAAACAGAGACATGGAATGTCAGCTGGATAGTCCTGTCTTCCTCTACCTTAACGATAGTGGCAGCTGAGGCACCAGAGAGAGAGGATGTGCCCAAGGCAATGGAACTAGGATTTCAGTCTAGGTCTTCAAAACTCCAAATCCTAGGGTGGTCAGAATTTTTGTTCTGTTCTGTTCTGTTCATGTTTATGAGTTCTCCGGGGGAGAGCTTCCCACAGTTAATAAAACTGAGCTGACTTCATGATTCTTGGTAAACACAAATCTGAGAAAACCCCTGACAGGGTAGAGATTGGGGTGGGGAAAGTAGGTAAGGTCAAAACTAAGAAAATTATGATTCTTTGGAAGTAACCTCTTTCTAGTCAATCATATTCAGGCACAATCCACCCATGAGCACTTATTTATCTTTGGAAGTTCTATTTTATTTTTATTTCTGAATTCTCTCCTCTCCACCCCTCCTCCACCCATTGAGAAGGCAAGAAATACAATACCCATTGGCCATGAAGTTGGGCAAAATATTTCCAGATTGGCCATTGAACTAGCATTTATTTAGCACCTATTATATGCCAGACACTATATTAGGTTCTGGGGATATATAGACAAAGAATGAGATAATCTCTATTCTGAAGAAGTTTACATTTCCACTCTGGAAAGAAGAACAGTCTTGAGTATGTGCCTTAGATTACAGTCCACGGGGGCCAGTATCGCCCAAAGGGAATACTACCCCCAGTCTTGGAAGTCTGTCTTCACCCAAACCTTAATAGGATAAAATCAATTCAGGCCTGGGTTGGAGTTTGACCAAGATTCAATGCTATCTCATTATCAGAGATGTCCTTCTGAACAACTTTGGACAGAAGGCTGGCAGGGTGGAACTCTGAGTCTCCAAGACAGAGATTACCAAGAGAAATAATTTTTAACAATACACGTATTACATATATATGCATATACATATACACATATATGTGTATATTATATTATATTGTGTTATATTAGGCCATGACCAGTGTAGGAGTTACTTTTGCTTGACTATATTTGTTACAAGGGCTTTTGTTTTTTTTCTTTTTCAGTGGGGAGAGGGAAGAAATAGAAAAGGCAGATTGGGGTTAATTTTTAGAAATTAATTTTGTTTCATTTTATTTAAAATTTTTTCAAAAAGAAAAGAACTTGATCAGAAGACATCCCATCTTAATCCCAGAAATTCTCCCATACCCACACCCATATCCTCTAGCCCAGTTATGCTGTAGCTCACCAGGTAGTAAATAGAAGAGCAGAAGCTCTGCAGGGCAGGACTTCTGGAAATAAGCTGATGAAATGGACCCTCACTTTGAGGACCAGCAACATTCCTAGCTGGAGTCTGGGACAGACCTATAGCGGCTGCAGGATGCTAGGTAGACAGTTAGATGGTATGTCATAGGCTGCATCTGAAGGATCCTTGTGTGGGATATATGGGGTATGTCCAGGGAAGCAGGGGATGGGAGGATGTGGACTGTGTGCATGGATTTACCATGGGGAGGGGCAGCAGCATGGAAGGTGAGAGGGAGATCTGGTGGGGTGGCTAGGATTGGCCAGAGCTAGCAAGCTCTCACCACTCAGCACAGCTTCAGGGATAGAGTAGGAGATCTGGTTGGAAGGTTGCATGGCAGGAAGATCTCATGAAGGAGAATGAAGTCAAGTCAGCAAGAATTGAAGAACTTACTCCATGCAAAACCACTGGTATGCCATAAGCCTGCAGAGACAGACCAGAGCCAGACTGTAGAGGACCAAACGAGTTTGTATTTTATCTTAGACACAAGAGGGAGCCACTGAAGGTTTTAGGGTAGAGGACGCAACATGGTCAGAAAGATTATTTTGGCAGCTCTGCTGAGGATGATTGGACAGGGGAAAGACTGGAGGCAAGGAGACAAGTTAGGAGGCTATTGCAATAATTCAGGCAAGAGGTTGTGAGGGCTTCCACCAACGTGGTTCTGGTGTGAAGAGGAAGAAGGGAACAGGTGCAGGAGGTGCTGTGGAGGTAGCATTGACGAGATTTTTCAACTGATTCGATATGGGAGAGAGAGACTGAGGGGTGAAGGATGATTGTAAAATTGTGCTCGTAGGTGCCTGGGAGGATGGTGATACCCCTAACAAAGATATTGGGGGTTGAGGGGAAGATGATGAGTTCTGCTTTGGACATGTTGAGTTTGAGATGATTATGGGGAGGTGTGGTAGGCCTGCTATGTCACTAAGTTAATTAGAGGTCAGGGGTAACTGAGAGTTGTTCAGTCTGTCACCAGTCAATGTCTTGTTTGACAGGATAGATGTAGGAAGTATGCATGTGTCTGAGGTCTAGAATACAGATAATGAGTAGTCCAGGAAGTAGATAATGAGGTAGGGCAGTAGTATAGATAGTCCAGTGGGTAAGTATATCTTTGTGACCCAGTGCAAAGCCCGTTCAAACTAATAATGCCTTCAGATTCTGTTTGTAACTGCACCGAGGAGAGAGATAAGGGTAGTGGCTTACTGGGGCCTGCTCATGAGTAATTGCTAGGTACGTTGTCCTTGGGCTGGGGGTAAAACTGCCAGAGACAGTGTTTCTGAGGCTAGGGAGAAATTGGGGTCCAAGCACAAGCACCCCATCAATGATGTGTGGGACTAGAGTTCAAGAGACACACTCGGAGCTGGAAATGTAGGGGTGGCTAGGTGCCACAGTGGATAGAGTGCTGGGCCTAGAATTGCGAAGACCCAAATTCAAATCCAGCCTTGGACACTTTCTAGCTGGATGACCCCGGGCTAGTTGTTGTACCTGTTTACCTCAGTTTCCTCAACTGTAAAAAAGGGTTAATAATAGCACCTACCTCCTAAGGGTTGTTCTGAAGATCAAATGAGCTAATAATTGTAAAGCACTTAGCACAGTGCCTATATAAATGTTAGTGTGCTTTGTAATGTTAGCTGCTATCATTATTATTATAATAGTTGAACCTACAGGAGGTAGATTTACAGTTACACCTCTTATAAGCATGATTATCTTGCAGAGGAATCTTCTAGGAAGGAGGAGAATTAGGAGAAAGCAATGTCACGAAAACCCAGAGAAAGGGGACGATTTCTAGGAGTGAGGGAACTCACATAGTATCAAATGCTGCAGAGAGGTCAAGAGTAAGATGGACTGAGAAACTGGTTTGTGGATTTGGCCACTGAAAGATGATTGGTAACATTGGAGAGAACCATCTAATAATTGCCAAGTCTAAAAGCTGGTTTCTGAGTTAGGAGGCCATAAGCAAAGATTGCAAAGGCTTGAGAAATGAATGAGAGGTGAGAAAAAAGAGGCCAACAGGTAGAGACAGTTGGGCCAGGAAAGGGTTGGGAAGAGTATCTAGAATAGGATGTATGTTTTAAGGCTTTAAAGGAGTGTATCTAGAGGTTATGCATCAAGTGGGAGGGTAAAAGAGGTTATATTAACAGAGTAAACATGTGGAGAAAGTTGTGTTTCAAAGGTTGTGGGCATAAATATCAATCACTTCCTGCAAACTGATAGAAAGGTGTTGAATTTTTAGATTTTTAACGAATGCGTTCAAAACCTATTGAAATGCTGAAGATTGTTAAACAGATTATGTTCCCAGGTTTTCTAAGTGTGCACGTATGAGAGTTTTTCTAGGGGACACAGATACTGTTTTCTGAAATAAAAGCTGACTTTAAATGTCTTCATGCTGCCATTAATGAATGTCTCATGGTACAACATTGACTTTGGAGGGGAGTTCATCATTAATGATAGTGTATATAAATCCATCTTTCAAATAAGCTTCGTGATACTTAGAAATTTCTTTTGGCTGACCTTGTGGGAGTTGATTAGATCATCCTTGTGGCTGATAAGAGGCTGGTAAGATGTGTCAGCTCTGCTGTGTTCTCTTTTGTCAGCTTGTGCTCACATTATTAGTATGATCTTCCATTGGATGAATGAATGGGATGAATGAGCATGCCACAGTAAGCCTCTGTGCACTGTGTGCATGCCTGCTCTTTCCTTAGGATGCCCTGCAGACTCTACATGGCCGGTGGTTGTGTGTGTGTGTGTGTGTGTGTGTGTTGTGTGTGTGTGTGTGTGTGTGTGTGTGTGTATGAGAGAGAGCCTAATGCTGATGTCAGCATCAGCACATATAGTCAATATTAGTAAAGCTTAATTCATTTCTTGTTTTTAGAATGAAAATAAGTGTTAACAAGTTTTACTTTTTCATCCCATGACCTGATGGATTGATTGATTGCCCACTTTGGAGACCATTCTCTAAGGCCTTTAGCAAGTACATCCTCTCGCTGCACTCTTTTCCTTGTTGATTAAGTCTACCTGTGTAGCTTTTGTAGTCACTTTTTATGCAGAAAATTCCCTAATCTATTGAGTTACATCCTCTCCTCTCCTCTATTCTTAGCGCTTGTCCCTGGTCCTGGTTCTAGCTCCATCAGCAACCTCAAATCCAACATTCCTCAAAGTGAACTCATCTTCCCCCTGACTTGTCTGTCTCTGTTAATGGTCACTTTGTCTCCTAATCTTGGAATCACATTCTCACTTAACAACCCTCCCCCCATCCAGTCTGTTGCCAAGTCCTGTCAATTCTATCTCCACATTATCTTAGGAAACATGTCCCTTCTCTTCTCATATTGCCACCCCCTGGTTCAGGGCCTCATAACCTCTCCCCTGGGCTATTACACTAGCCTCCTAATTGGTCTCCCCGACTTCATCCTCCCTCCTTTCCAGATGACTTGCCCTGCATGTCACTTGCCCAAATCATTTTCCTAACATAATCAGAGGCTCCTGATTGTTAAAGTACAAATTTCTTATTTTGGTTTTCAAAATTCCTCATGGTTTGGCGCAGCCCAGCCAAACTGTCCATTTTCATTCTAGGGAAAAGGGAAGCAAAGGGGATAAACATTCATTAAACACCTATTAGCTGCCAGGCCACCCAGAAGCAGTTAGGGGGCCCAGTGGCTAGAGCACTGGACCTGGACTCAGGAGACCTGAGTTGAACCCCAACCTTGGATGCATACTAGCTGTGTAACCCCACACAATTCCAAAAGACTCATGTTGGAAAATGCTCTCCACATCCAGAGAAAGAACTAGGGAGTCTGAACACAGACCAAAGCATACTGTTTTCACTTTTTTTTTCTTTCTCATGGTTTTCCGCCTTTTATTCTGTTTCTTTCACAACATGACTAATGTGGAAATATATTTAACATGATTGCACATGTATAATCTATATCAGATTGCTTGCAGTCCTGGGGAGAGGGGAGGGAGGGAGAATAATTTGGAACTCAATCTCATAAAAATGAATGTTGAAAAAAATTAAATTTTAAATTAAGCTTGCCCAGGGTCATACAGCTAGTAAGTGTTATGTGTCTGAGGCTGGATTTGAACTCAGGTCCTCCTGAATCCAGGGCTGGTGCGCTATGCACTGTGCCACCTAGCTGCCCCTCAACCCTGTATTTTTTTGAAAGATATAATGTACATATCATAACTTGGGGGGAGGGGGCATGCTCTGAAGAGGCCTCCTGAATGCATCTCTAGGGGTTCCTTCCAACCTGGAAGCCTTCCTGAGTCCTAGCTCCCAGCTGAACAGTATCTTCTAAAGATTTCTTAGAGCATTTGACCTGAGTATCCGTTTTGCTCTAATCACATTGTTCCTTGCATCAGTTATTTGTGTTCTTGTCTTTCCTTCCTTAGACTCTTACATTATTTGACAGCTGGATAAAATGCTTTCTTCAGCCCTCATATTTGGGGGAACCCCACCTCCAACTCTCCTTTCATTAATGAGACTCAAGAGGCTAAATATTTTATTCTGGACTTAACCCTCCCGGTTCAGTGCTTTCTCTTTTTCTCTGGACTAAATATAGCGCTCACCCCTCCCTCTGTGGGAGGATCAGACCCAGGCCCTGCCTTCGGGGAACTCACAGTCTGTAGGAGACAGTGGAGCAATTTGTGGCAGGTATTAGATTAGTGGTATTTGGTATAAAGGCTGTTGGAAAGCAGAGAAAATAGAAGTTTCTGTGGTCAGAAATGGTGGAATGAATGGATGGAATAGGCATAGCTGGTTACTGCACTGTGGGTATACTTGCTGCCTAATAAGTCTTGTGGGCCCCAATACTGTAGGTATTCTCTGTACTGGGTATCTTTGGGTCATGATCAGATGATTGGGGGAGAACTATGCGCAGGGTAATTGCAAGTCCTAAGAGATCAAGTCCATAAGTTAGTCTTCCTTTTGATTTTTCCCCTCAGTTTCGGGACATTCGTGGGCATTGGAGCAACCATCTTTGTGCTCATTGTGGTCACCATCATCCTCTGTTTAACGTGTTCCTGCTGCTGTTTGTACAAGATGTGCCGAAGGCCCAGACGTGAGTTTAGCCTTAGTCTCTCCTCCTTTTTCTTTCACCTTTTTCTTATCCCTACAGATTCAGTCTTTTGGAATTCCATTCCTTCCCCATCCTCCAGTGTGTCCCTTCCCAGTCCTGATTGCTGTCCCTTGTCCAACCTCTGTTTCTATCATCCATTCTCTTTTCCCATTCATGTCCTTGTCCCCTATACATTTCACCAGACCCTTATGTCTTCCACCCCAACCATTTTCCCTACCTCCAAATCCATTCATGTCCCCCATAACTTTAATTTCTCTCTTACCTTTCCACCCTTTACCATTTCTACCTGCCTACCTCTTCCCCACTGCATCAATTCTCTCTACCCCTAACTCCATCCCATTTCCCCATCCCTTCCTCATTAAAAAAAAAGATAAGTTTTTTGTTTTTACATTATAATTATTTGTGTAAATGTGTTTCTCCAATCAAACTGAACCCTTTTCTGTTTAAAATGATAATAACAAAAAAAAACAGTTAAATAATAACACCGTCCTTATACAGGAACCGTATCTGACTGTGTGTACAGCATTATGATCTAGGCATCTGCCAAGAATAGACAGACTAGTTTCATTATGTTTTCCTGGATCCATTCCTTTCATTTTCCTTTCCCTGTTTCCATTTAACATTCCTCTTTCCTTCACCCTCTGACCTAACATTAGCCAAAAGATTCATTGTGTGTGTGAGTGTGAGTGTGTGTGTGTGAGTGAGTGTGCATGCGCATGTGTGTGCACATACGTGCGCATGTATGTTAGATAGTCTATTGGGCACTGATACTTGGTTAGGACCATGTGTCTTGACTCTTCGTGACTGCATTTGCAGTTTTCATGGCAAAGATACTGGAGTGGTTTGTCATTTCCTTCTCATTTTACAGATGAGGAAGCTGAGGCAAACAGGGTTAGATGACTTGCCCTGGGTCACACAGCTAGTGAGTGTTTGAGGCCAGATTTGAACTCAGGTCCTTCCTCTATCCACTTCAGCATCTAGCTGCCTAGACTTCTCATACCCCTGGATGACTTAGATTAGTACACCGTGCATACGTGTTCTATGCCCTCGCTCTCCCCCTCCCATGCTTATCTGTTTCTGTATTCCCTTCTTTGTCTTATGTCACTCTCTGTTGTGTTCTGCCCACCTCTGTGTCCATCTGTTGGCCTATCTCTTCACCTTGCTCTGTCCCCTTCTTATGCCCACTTCTTTGTCCTGAGTTTTGGCCAGCTGTGAGGCATTCTGTGCTCATCAGTATCTCCTTGCCCATCCCTGTCCCCTGTTCAGGGCCTGCTGTGTCCTGTCCTGCTTCCTACTCTTTCTTACTGTACCACATGATTTAATTTATGACAAACAACATTAGCCTTTTCAGCGTCTGGTTGTGGAACAGAACTAGGAAGCTTGACATTTTCTCAGGCCTGTAACCTGATTTTCAGGAATCACTGGGAATCACTCAGTTTTTCCAGCAGCCCCAGGATAGGGTTGGAAAGAGAGGAGCAACTCTGTATGTCCTGTGAGCATGTCTGTGTCTGTGGGCCCGTGTTTGTATGTGGCTTTGTTAATTTCTGCATATAGTTTCTCTACTCATCTCAGTGACAAGAGTTTGTATGCATATTTGAGACTTGGTGGTAGTGGTGGGGGGTGTGTGTGTGTGTGTGTGTGTGTGTGTGTGTGTGTGTGTGTGTGTGTGTGTGTGTGTGTGTGTATGTGTGTGTGTGTGTGTTGGGGAAATATTATGAGTCAGGCTCGGGCCCTGCCCTAAAAAATGGGCTCTTTCATGAAGACCTTGGGACAGATAGGGAAGGTCTTGGGAGACTTAGACTTTAGCTAATACAAGAAAGAAGGAGCCTTACTCTGTGTTCTGTTTGCAGCTGTGGTGACAACCACGTCGACTACTGTGGTCCACTCTGCATACCCACAGCAGCAAGGTGTGCCACCTGGTTACCCTGGGGCCATGTACCAAGGCTACCAACCTATGCCTGTCCAGCCTGGGATGCCAGTTGCGCCTTATCCAACGCAGTACCCACCACCCTACCCTGCCCAGCCTACTGGACCTCCTGCCTACCACGAGACTCAGTCTGGTGAGTACAGCCAGATTAAGGGTGCACCTTATCCTTCCACATTTCCCCTCCCCTCCATTTCAGAGCCTGGACCCTTCCAGCCACAGTGACTTTCCCAAGTGGCATTTTTTGACCTCTGGGATCCTATTCATAGGAATCATTCTCTACTACCCCATTCTATTCCCCTCACCTTTTTTTTTTTTAAACATTGTTCCCTTTGAAGTTCAGGGGCTTTGTTTGGGAATACTACCTTGGCACCACTTCCCCTTTTATCCCAAGACCCTGATCAGTGTCATTGTCCCTCTGGTCCCTGACACACCAAACTACTTAGCCCTTTGCTAATTGCACATGGGTAATGGGAAATAATAACCAATATTTCTTAAGAGACATATCTGATTTTTTAAAATTTATACTGGCTGTGATGGAGGAATCTGGACTTGGGGGATGTGATTGTGACTAATCTGGGGGGGGGGTCCTGTTCCTCAGCAGGTGCTGGAGCGCCATACCCAATCAGCCAACCTCCATACAACCCTGCATACATGGAGCCTCCAAAGACTGCCTATTGAGTTGCTTCTGAGCTGTGCCCCTGAAGGCCCCCCGCCCCTTTTCCTCCTCTTCCTGCCTATCACTGTGTGTTTGAGCATGTGGGAATGTGTGTCTGTGTCGTCTTCTCTTCTCCCAAGTAAATGCAAGCTGTATGTTGTACTTGTAACATTCTGTTTCCCCACAATATATGGGCCGGGATGAGAGACAGTGAAACGACACTTCCTAAAACTTTCCTCAGATAATTCTTGAAAATAAGTTGGTGTGATTTTTGCCAAATCACAGAAAAAAAGGAAGAAGCTTGTGAAACCAGCATTAGTTAGGGCAGTGTTTGGAGGACATTTGGGAGACAGACACATGTTAAAAGGAATAGATGAAAACACTCATGTCAGCACACGGCTCTTCACCGTGCCATGAGTTGCCGACCTTGACCTGAAGATCAGAAGAGGCCCCCTGTCCTGGTGCTGGTTCCTGAAGGCCTCACAGAACTCACATCCTCCATAGTGCCCTGCTGATCAGTTTAGAGAGGACAGCAGCAACATCAAGTGGTCAGTGGCTTTGGCTCTCTGACCAGGTCAGCTTCAGGGTGTTTGTTTAAAATTCTCATCCGCTCTGTTCTGGCCAAGAGACATTGTCAGATGCAGCATAATTCACTCTCTGCTCCTAGGGGCCTCAGCTCCTTCCATCTCAGGGTCCCTGCCGGGGCCCCAGCTCTCCCTCTCCATCCAGTTTCCATGTGGAAAGAGGATTAGATGGGGACTTCACCCTCCTGGCTGCTGAGAGGAACCTGGAGTCAGCCAGGAGTGTGCGTCTATCTGTGTTCTGGGATTCGGGAAGGATCCTCTTGCATCTGAGGTCTGAATTGTTTGTTTTAGTCATTAAACAGATCTGGCCAGCATTTGGCTGAAGAAGGTAGATAGAAATGTTGCCCCTTCCTCTGTCAGAGAAGGGAGATAAGATGGGTGCTAGGTTTATCTCAGTTCTGTTTGCTGAGCTGCTTTTTCCCATTCATTCTCTCATCAGGAAGGACATCCAGACTCAGGTTTGTCAACCCACGTTCTCTCTTAGTATTTTTTAAACTTATCCCAGGGCTGGTAGCCGTTGGGATGGGACCTGTTTGTTTTCGGGGGCAAGAGATTTTGATGACATTTAAGGTGCAAGTAGCATATGCTCAGACTTGCCCATGGTGGGTGGGGTGCAGGATGGATAGGGAAGAAACAGAAGGGGATGGTGCCACAGAGGAGAGGGGGCCAACCAGATTCCCTCTCTATTCTTCTATAATTGGAGGGAAATGGATTGAGATGAGGGTCCCTTTTAAGGGGTCCCTTCTAGCTTCAAAATACTATAACCTAGCTTGGGTCCCCTCCTCCTCTTCAGTTAATCCTATCCTTCCTCTTCCAAAACCCAAAAGGAAAGGGGTTAGATGGAATGGCACTGAAGGCTGATCGTGGATTGGCTGGGTCCTGTCTAGGAGGGGGATGGGCATTTGGTTTCAGAGCACAGGACTTTTCTGGTCTCATCCTTTGGTAACTCTCATTCTCTCATTTGTAACCAGTTGCCTCTGTGTGTTCTGTGAAGGGGCCTGTTCCTGTTTGGGCCAAGCTCTTATTTGTAATAAACCTATGGATTTGAAAATGACTCTTCTTCAGTAACTCTGGAGGTGGTGGTGGATTTAAAGGAGCTTCTGGGTCCCAGTTATTGGGAATGGTATTAGGTTGGTCAGCTTAGATTGGGGGGCCTCTCTGAGGGATGATTGTGGATTTCCAGACTGTAGCTCTGTGGTCAGATTAGATCTGGGGGTCCCTGTAATTTTCCCCCTTAAGATCAAGAGATCTCTGAAAGCCAGTTTCTTTCTGCCTTCAGACTGGGGGCTCTGAGGCCAGATGTCCTCCCTTCAGACTGGGGCTAAGGTATAGAAGTTTTCTCCCCACTTTGTCTCATGTCTCCCTTGTTGAGCCCTGTGTATGACAACTGGTGGGAGGGCTTTGGTCTTGGCCCAGCGTAGGTAACCAGATCCTTCTCGCTTCCCTCTTTAGATTTACTAAAAACAATTGTCCAAGTCTGCCTAGTCTGGAAGGGTGTCTAATTGGTCATCTTCTCCCAAAAAGCTTTTGAAGGTGGGGGTACAGCAAAGACAGAGGCCAGAAGAGCTGTTGGATCAGACCCCTTAGGCTCCCATAGTGGGAGTCTAGGCCAATGTTAAAATTTTTATTTATAAGTTTGTTTTACAATATATCCACGAGCCCCTCCCTTGGAGGACCTGACAATACCAGTTGATCCCCCCCTCCCCCCATCCAAAGTCTCAATGAGATCAAGGGGTACTCAGGACAATGTGAATGACATGGTTAAAATGACCAAGGTACCCAGTACAGAGCTACTGCCACAGTTAAGATGACCAGGGGGCCCAGTATTGCCAGCAGGTGGGATGTGTTCAAATTCGAGGCCCTAGGGATGCTCCTAGAGTGGGAGGGAGCCTCTGGTCTACATCTTCTCCTCCTGCCAGCTGGGCTGGTATCCCCTGACGTGGCTAACTTGGTGGCTGTCCGCAGCTTCTGGCGTTCAGTCTTCGTCTTTGTATCACAGGCAGCTCCCTGGTCAGTCACAGCTCCTGCTTCATACATGGGTTTGATGCTACTGAAGGATCTGGCATGAGTGTCAATCCAGTGCAGCAGTGGCTGAGGCCTCGCCTGGCAGATGCTGACCAGAGCAAGGACATCACCCTCAGCTGTGTGGGTGTCTGGTGGGGCCTGGCCATATAGGCGGGTGTAGACATTACCCAAACTGTAGCTCTTCCTTTGGCTACATTCACGAGGTGGGCTGGAGTGGTCCAGGGCTCTCAGGGCCGAGATGCTGTCCACACAGAAGACACCACTTAGGGCATCTGTGCCATGCCTAGCCCAGCTCAGCTCAGCTTGCAACAGGGGGAAGTCAAAGCGGTCTCCATTGTGGGCCACAAGACAGACAGGAGGTGGCTGCCGCTGAAGGAAGGCCTGGAGTAGGTCAACGAGACCAGAGTCAAAACCTCGCCTTCGGTAGGCTGTCAGCATGGCTGTGTTCAGACCAGTGAGATTGCTGGCTGCAGAGCTACAAGCCTTTCCTGGTGCCACACACACGCAGAGCTTGTCCGCCACCCGGGGTGGCAGCGGCACCTGGGAAGGGCCCCCTGTTGGAGGTGCAGGTTGGGGCCCCTCCAGGGCATGTCTGTGGATGGCCACCAGGCACAGTTCCGTGACCTTTGGCTGAGAGAATGGCAGTCCTGTGGCTTCTAGATCCATGAAGACAAGTGTCTCCATGGGCCTACGGGAGGCAGCTTCCAAACCCATGGACCTAGGAAGATAGTGAGTGAAGGGAAACGGATAGAGAGGCTTGAAACTCAGGGAGCTGGGGTCGTGGGATGCAGGCATATATATGGTATGTATATATATATATATATATATGCCCCTCATGGATCTGGGGGCGAAGAGGGGGCGAGGAGCTGCGCGGTTTGAAGCATATAGACCCGAATTTGAGGAACATGGTGAATGTGGAGGGAGACAGTGGGGTCTGAAGCTCATAGACAGGGTGGAGGTTACTATAACAGTAAGTGTAGGTGGAGAGCCGCACTGGAGTCTGAAATTCATGGATCTAGCATGGGGGGGATGGGGTGAAGATAGAACTGTTTAAGGCTCACGGGTTTGGAGAGGGGGACACACTGAGTACAGGTGAAGGGAGGCAGTGGAGTCTGAAGCTCACGGACTTGGGGTGAAGGTAGGGGGACGACATAGTGTAGGTGAGGGGGCCGAGGGATCTACGTCTGAGGACTTCGCAGAAGATTGGGGCGGGGGGGAGGCTAGTAAGAAGCATACAAGGCCCAGGGCGGTGGGTCGGAGGGCCCAGGGAGTCAGTGGGGCCCTGGGAGTCAGTGGGCCCCTGAGCCAGGGCGGGGGTGGGAGGCTGACTCAGCCCGAGGCCCGGATTGCTGGGCGTGGTTTCGGCTCCAAGCGGGGCCGGTGGCCAGCTGGGGGGGGGGGTAGGGTTCTGGAGCCGGGTAAGCCCAGAAGCCCGGGGGCTTTAGGGCTGGAAGGGTCTTCTGGAGACACCTCGCGCCCTCCCCGATGGCTGGGCTGTGCAGCAGAGTCGCGGAAGAGTCTGCACGGGCTGCGGCATTGCCCGGGCTCCTCCTCCCCACGCCGGCATGGGCAGGGTTTCAGACCTGGAGCCTCTCTGGGGTCCCCTCCCCGGGATGTGCTTGCGGGGTCCGTTCTCTACTTACCGGCCGGATCGGAGGAGCGGGCTGGGCGCTACGGGCAGGCTCGGGACTTAGGGGAAATTCTCCAGGCTCGATTTTAGGGAAACGAAAGCGCACCCTCCAGCTGGGACCAAGCCCCGCCCCCGCTCCGCCTTCCAGCTCCCAGGGAGGGGCGCAGGCATGCCCTCTGCCCGTCCTCCCATCCAGGGCTGTCTGTCATCTGGAGGGCACTCGGAGAGCGAGAGCTGCCCGGGCCAGCCGGGTCTTCCCCGACAGCCGCCTTCCTCCGACTTAGAAAGAATGTGGGGGCTCTGGGATGGCAGGACCTGTCCTGAGGCCTTGACGCCCAGAGCCTAGTGGAACGAGACTGTTCTCCTGGGCCCTTTGACTGCCCGAACCTGGCATGAACCTCATCTCCCAGGAATGCCTCGGGCACAGCGTTGTTCTGTTGGGGAAAGATTGGTGCAGTGCCTCAGCGTGATGACTGGCAGCGTTCCCAGCATCTGTCCAGGGCACCAGAGAACTGGCATCCATTCTAGTGCTGGCTTCCCATGGGGATTCCAGGAAATCAAGGTGGGACCCACTTAGGAGTTACGGTGGTTTCCCACCAGAGCTCTAAAGGGCAGTGCATTTATATGTGGGGTGGAGGGTGGGAGGGGGATGGTTGTGGTGGACGCAGAAGGAAGGTGATTCCACATCCTCTTGGAGTACACAGGTGTTTAACTGGAACATCAACTTTTCTGGGGCCCTGGTGTGCTCTTTCTATGCAGGGATGGGCAAAGTAGAGACAGGTTACACCGGGAAGACATTGCTTTATTTTCAATATAAATGGAAGCCTCAACTTGGTCTCCTGGAGATGCTCCTCAGTTGCAAATGGGGGCACCAAGTGTCTTTGTTGGGGGAGGGGCTCCTTGTCTTTAATGTGTACATATCAGATGAGATTTCTGCGGCACTATGAGCCTTGATGGGAAGAAATAGGTGAGGAGGCAGAAGATGCAGGTTCAGGGCCCAGCTCTGCTACTGCTGGAGTATCACCTTGAGCAAGTGACTTAACATCGGTTTCCTGATCTCTAAATAAAGAGGTTGGATCAGATTACCTCTAAAGCTCCTTGCAGTTCTAAAATTTATAAATCTAGCTTCAGAGGTTCTTCCAACTGCATAATTAGGAAGGACCCAGGAGCTAAGAGTGATAAAATATAATGATCAGTAATATTCTTTGAAGTGTCAATGACATTCACTTTAATCAGTTAGTGTAATTTTTAAAACTCTGTAAAATTCATGTCTATAGTTGAAAAACTGGTGATCTAAGTACCACCTTGTGGTTCAGCTAGGGTCCGTGTCAGGGTCATCCAAGTCAGGTTCTGTTCGGCACAGGTCTTCCAGAGCTGTTTCTAAACCAGAAACAAAAGGATTAAGTTGTGATTGGCTTGATCCAAAGCATGAAGTTGAGAATTTATGATGCCAGCCACTTGTTTTCCCCCTGAGCAGTACCTCAGGGACTGCCTGCCTGCCCACTGACCCTTCTATTCTCCTCCCTTACCCTCCCCAACACCCCTAGCATCTGGTCACTTTTGGGCCCAGGCTTTGGTGTTGAATCAGAGCAAGGTGTGAAGGCAGGCAACAGATGTGAGTGCCAGATAGCTGGCTCAGGAATTTGTAGACATGGATGAAAATCCCGCAGGCCTCAGTGTTTGGGCATAGGAGGGGCTGGGCTGTTAAGCAACATTTTACAAAAGACAAATTGGAACCTGCAGGGCTACTGGGATAATAGATCATATCTTGGGTTACTATTGGAGGCACAGAAAGGCAAAGAGTGAGGTTCTTGTCCTAGAGGTCTCCCAGCTTCCTAGCTGGTGATGTGGTCACTCTTTTCCTCCCTTAGGCTTCCCAAGGACTGAGGATCTCTCTCAGGAGTGGCCAGTACCCAGCTTCACTCTCTCACCTTCATAGTTTGTCCTGTCAGGGAGGCCTCGAAGGAGGGCTTGGATACCAGGAATCACCTGGTCATATTGGTGCAGAACATCCATGCAGTGCACATGGAATAGTGTGTCTCTCTGGGACAAACTGTGCAATAACAACAAGGTGTCCCGGAGACACCGGACCATCTGCTTTCTCTGACCCATCTGTACAAGGCCTTCCAACCTTCGAATGGTCAGCCACTGTCTGTGTAACATCACTATGAGTGCTTTGACTACCTGGGAAACAAAATGAAGAACAGGTATTAGTACTATAGGATAACAGAGGACTTTTATTTAGGGGTTGGTTCTGAAGGGGAAGAGAATGCTTCCTGTAACTGATTTCATTTTAAATACTGTTTCAACAAATGAATCAATCAACAAGCATTTATTAAACACATACTATGTACTATATGCCTGTGATGTAAACAAAAGACAAAAAAGAAACAGTTCATACCTCAAAAAGCTTATAGTCTATGGGAGATGATTATACACACAGAAATGCATGTGTACATGTGTATGTATATGTATACACTATTATATACACACATATGTATAAATAAAATGTAGATACAAATATAAGGTAATTTTTTTGGTTTTTGAAGGGGGCACAGGAAAGGTTTCATGAAAAAGCTAATGCTTGAGCAGTGTTTTTGGTCCCCCCCCCTTTTTTGTTGGTGAGGCAGTCAGGGTTAAGTGACTTGCCCAAGGTCAAACAGTTAGTGTCAAGTTTCTAAGCCCGCATTTGAACTCAGGTCCTCCTGACTCCAAGGCTGGAGCTTTATACACTGTGCCACCTAACTGCCCCTTGAGCAGTGTTTTAAAGGAAACAAGGAATTCTAAGAGGCAGAGGGGAGGAGGGAGAGCATCCCCGGAATGGGAATAGCTAATACAAAGGCTCAGAAATAGGAGATGGGAATGTCTTGCAAAGAACAGCAAAAAGGGTAGTATGGCTGAATTGAAGAGTGCAAGATGGGGACTTAATGTACAATAAAGCCAGAAAAGTAAGCTCAGTCAAGTTGTGAAGGTTTTAAATGCCCCACAGAGGAGTTTCCATTGGATCCTTGGAGCAATAAGAAGTCACTGGAGTTCACTGAGTATGGCAATGATAGTTAGAATGGTGCTTCTGTTTATGGATACGGCTCAACCCAGCTGCCTGGTCTAAGCCACACTGAATAGGCAAGTTCCTACTTGTTGGAGGTTAATGAAGATTCAGAATTGAGACCACAAAAGGGCAAAAATTTGAAAAACTGAAAAGCATTTTTCTCTGTTATCAGTGGTTCTCAAACTTTTTGGTTTCAGGACCCTATTATACTTTTAAGAATCACTGATAACCCCTTTCCCCAAAAGACCTTTTGTTTACGTGTTATAGCAGCCAATATTTACCATATTAGAATTTAAAGCATCACAGTATTATTATGGAAACAGTTTTTGACCTCACAGATCCCCTGAAAGTATACTAGGGACCCCTTGGGGGCCCTGGCCCACACTTGGAGAACCAAAGCTCCAGAGGTATGTATACACACATGTGTGTCGAGGGTCACTGCATCACTGCTTGGGGGAGATCGCGATGTTGATAGCATGATTCAGGAGATCACTGTGTAACTGCTACGGGGGTGGCAGGGCTGCTGGGAAGTGTAGCCAAACATGAGTTGTACTGTAAAGCAGAATAAACCATTTTCGGGCACGTGGAGGAAGAAGGTTCTTCCTTCATAACAAGCCCTTGCTGCTGGTTCAGCAGAACACTCAGTATGCATTATTCTCCTTTCTGAAGAGGGCCAGCGCCATCAAGAGGTTTGGAGGAGGGATGTTAGGAATAGCAATGGACAAAATGTGGTTTTTGATTGCTATGGTAAACAAGGGGCAGAACTGACATGCCCCAGTACTGCCCTACCCATCCTCTCATTCCCTGGCCACTTACCTCCAGGCTGCACTGGCAGTCAGATCCTATGATGGAGATAGGAGAGTCAGGGCTCTGCATGATCTTGGCCAGGAACCACACTGTCTAGGACAAGAGAGCACAAGGACACAAGGTCCTACCACAAACTCTGCAGGCAGGAGCAGGACCCTTCTACAGTAACCAGGCTTCTTGGACTGCCCTCCACTTTGATTCAGCTAACTCAGCAACTGCTTACCTGGACAAAGGGAGGTACTCCCTGAGTACTAGTAGGTACTCAGAAGTATAGTCAATCCAAGCAAAAAGGAAGCCCACCTTTAGAGATACCCGCCAAGGTAAAGACCATCACTAGCACTCAAACATATACAAATGGGCTCAGGCTTCTACTTAACTGCTTCATGCAAATGGATTCTGTCTCCCAAACAGACTGTGACCTCTCTGACAGGGATTACTCCCCAACAATGCTTAGAACAGGGCTGGGCACTTGTGGCTGAACAAATGAAAGCCTCCTTCCCCTAGGACTGAAATGAAAGACTTTCTCCCCTGGGAACTCTTCAGCAAGTTCTTGAGTGGCTTCTGAAAAACCAACAAGTCCTGGTGTTTACCTCTTGTTCCAGCTGAAACCACTGTGTCTCCACAGCTGCTTTATCTGGCCTTGAAGTGATGTACATATACAGCAAGAGGAGAAGACAGGTTTCTGGAAAAAAAAAGTGTACATTTCTTTCACTAAGTAATCACCCCTTTGTTCCCTCAACCAGGATCAGGGCAGGTACAGCTGAAGATTTCAGACAGTTCTGCAGCTGAAATCTGGCATCTTGTGCGCCCCTCTTTCCTACTAAGACAGGCAGCACTCGTCCTGAGGGTAACAAACTCTCTAACTCTACCTAGTCTCATCACTGAGGCACTCAGGGTCTTCTTCTGACAGAACAGAGTAGTTCTGATAGACTGGAGAGGAGGGACAAAGAAGAGAAAGAAAAAACACTTATATAACACCTGCTATGTTCTAGCCACTGTACTAAGCTCTTTTTACAAATACTTTCTCATTTAATCCTCACAACACCCCTACCAGACCAGACAAGAGCTATTATTGCCCCCATTTTACAGCTGATGAAACTAATGCACACAGAGGTTAAACTTGCCCAGGGCTACATGGCCAGTAAATGTCTGAGGCTACATTTGAACTTAGGTTTCCTGACTCCAGGTCCAGGGCTCTATATATTGCACTACCAGCTTCGTGAGTACACAGTACTCTGCTTCTGCCACGATAGCCCCTACGTTTCCAGAAATGCATTTTTACCTGATTGCGAGCAGAGCTGAGGAGCTAACTTCTCATGGTCACCAAGCAGAGACAGAAGATGAACAGTCAGGAGGACCGCTGACAGATGGGCTCTTGAGGAAAGGCACTGGAGCAACCCGTGGCTGCTCAGTACACACTGGAACCTAGAACACACAGACAACCAAGGATGCTGCACCAATCAAAACCTCTGTGCTACAGGCCATGCCATAGTCTCCTCACTAGAGAATAAAAGAGCAGCTAGAGTCTCAGGATGCAGGCAGCTCAGGACCTATTCCCCAGCAGCCTTCCAGCCCCCAGAGAGGTAATTAGAGAGCAAATGAAATGTTTCCACGCCCTTTGTGCTCTCCATTCCCCCAGTGAGGGGGAACAGATCCCCTGATGCAAGGTATAACACAAAGAGCCTTAGCCTGGGATTTGGGAGTTTTTGTCCTACTTCTGTCACTATAACCCCTCTCTAGGACTGTCTCTTCTTCGAAAAACAATGTTGGACTAGATGATCTCTAAGGTCTCTTGCAACTTTGACATTACAATGTCAGAGTGAAATAAAGGACAAGCCAGACTATCTGTGGAAATGAGCACAGACACACAAAGATGCAGCCTTAGCCATCCTGGGCCCCCTGATGTTTTTTTCCCTGCTTGTACAAAACATTGTTGGCCTGTGCCCTGGCCTACTTCCAGACCACAGGCATGTGGAAGGTGTGGACCTAACAACAGATTGAGGCCCTTGAGGAACTACACATAAGAGGCATGCCCAAAGACAGTATGCCAACTTGGGGATTACTGGTGTGGTACAAGTCGCAGTGGTTTAAACAAAGCTAAAGGACAACTTTGGATGCTCCATTTCTAGATCCGCTGGGCTCTGGTACCAAAGCAGCCACCTGGGAGGGTTCCTTGGTTCTAAGTTACTGAAGATATAGCTCTGCTTTCCTACAGGCCACAAAGAGGATGAATCCAAAGGGGGCTGGTGAAATTTAGCTGCTTCAATGTGGAAGGAAAGCACCTGTGAGGCCAAAGGCTACGTGGTGACAACAGGGCTCCAGCTTTACTCCAAACACAAATCTCTGCCTCTACGTGGAAGGTAGAGTAGTAGTGGGCTTTCCAGTATTTATGTGATATAAGAATATGTACTGTATGTTTTAATACAGAGAATGTGGTATAACAGGGTATTTCTCATTAAGCAGTCACAACGTGGCAACTTACAAACGTTTTAGTTTCATGACTAGGGCATTTTAGGTTAACAGAAATAACAGGACAAACCCCTTACAGTTTTGACTCTGACCTGAAATTTGCTATACTGAATACTGGTACTACTTTAGATCTTTTTCTTACAGATTTTGGAAAGTGGTTTTTAGAGACCTTCAATGAGACATAAGTGGGCTGTTAATCATTCAACTATGTCCCAAAGAATATAAGTTAGAGCAATTCCCTTTTACATAACAGATCAGTTTGTGTTGCTGGAAGTCTAGAATTGCAGTGGGTCCTGTGAGACTGAACTAATCGCTATTATACAGGAAGGAAACTACCAGTGACAGTTCATTCTCATTGGCCTTTACTGAACTGCTGTTAAACTGAGGTACTTCAGACTCATATGATCTCAAAATGCTACAGCTAACCCAAGGGATCACTAATCCAATCCCTCATTGCACGGATGAGGCAACGCAAACCTAGAAATCCTAACATTTGCCAAAGATCACACAGTAATCTGACCCTGACTAATCCAGACGGGTAAAATAATACGCTATTTTAGCTGGATTCAACTGTACTGGAATTTTATACCTAAAGAAGTTCTGGAAAGGAAAATATTACAGAATCTCATCATAACACAGTACCATGTCCAGAATGACAGACAGAACAAGGATTAGTAACTTGACATGGACTTCTGGTAAACTAATTTATATTAGTTTAGGGATTGCTTAGGGATCAGCAACCTACCAACTACATCTAGACACAGACTCACATACTATGATGAATGCAGGATATCAAACATTGTTACTCTTTGCCAAGACACTGGAAATCGACATTTGTGTCTCAAGTTGGATTTTTCCTCTACAACTGTTTGTGTACTGTGGCATACAGCCCCCATCTTACCTGTCATAAAAGTAGAATTAAACAAAAGGTATCTCCTTTCCCACAGATAAGAATATTCCCTAGAAGGAAGCGTAATAGAACACTAGCCTTGAAATCAGAAGAACTAGGTTTGAGTCCAGATTCTACCACTTAATACCTGTATGACCATGGGCACATCACATATCACTTTCCTTCTCTGACGTTCAATTTTCTCATGTGCAAAACGGATAATAATAATCACACCATGTACGTACCTCCAGGGCCTTTTCAAGGATCAAATGATATGCCCTAAGTGCTTTGTGACTTCCAAAACTATGCTTCATAACTAAGCAAGTATGGATTAAATTAAGGACACAGAAGGAAGCTACTATTGATAGCATGTACTATTTGCAAAAAGTTCAGGGAAAAGGCTGAAGAGAAACTTTATTCCTATCTGCTTTTTACCTGGGTAATAAATCAAATGCACAGTTTTCAGCTAATTTCACCAAAACTTTAAGGCACTGGTTCAGGACTCTAACTTGTAGGTGACCTGTTGAAGCAGAGGAGAAAGACAACAAGTGAAGGAGCATCTTCAGCAATGGATGTTGGTTCTGGCTATTTACAGTCTCCTCTGGGTTCTCTGCTGGTTGTTCTTCCACCATAGGGTTTTCTGATGGCTTCCCATGACTCCTTCTGCACACAGGGTTCTTGTTCTCTCCTAAGGCAGGATCCTCTCCATCAGTGGCATCTCTTCTCCCTCCTACCGACAGTAATGTCTGAACAACAGCGCCACTGTAACACACCAGGTGCTGCAGAATGCCAAGTGCCACCACAGTGAACCCTTCCAGAGCTGACAAGGAATCCTCTGTGTTGGCCTCTACGCTGGTGCTCACTCGAGAGGAGCAGGCTGACGAGTCCCCAGAACTGTTCCTTTTCACTGTGGCCAAAGCCTGCAGAGTCTGGCAGTAGAGGTCAGTGTAATACCTCACAAGGGGGAGAAGGTGCACAGCCCCAGGGAGCTGGCAGAGCTGAGTGACCTGAGAGGGCCTCCTGTTCCCCTCAGTGAGGCCTTCATCAGATGGACCTTCATCCCTGGCAATTAGGTTTAGTCCCGTGATGGCTAGGCTCTGTGCTTCTCTCAGAGATGAGGCAGAGAATGAGCCTTCTCTAGAATATGTGGTCTGGATGCTTGACGTTCCTGATGAAGCACTAAGGAAAAGCACAAAAGAGGGCAGTCCGTGGTGAGATTGCCTATCGATGTGCTGTACAAAGCCGGCACTTGATAAGTGTTTGCTCTATGGTAGCGTATAACGCCGCACTGCATCATGATCCCAACCTGGAAGGAGGTAGTACATGCTGCAAGCGGGACAAATCACAGCCAAGAGGCCCCACGCACTTTTCTCTAAAGAACTTTTCATATCCACCCACCCAGAAAACACACGGGCCAGTAAGGACAGGGCCAGCTCTAGCTGCCCAGAAAGAATGTTCACCAGTTCCTTCCTGAGAAGAATTGCTCAGAAGCTATCCTCTTACCTGCCCAATCTTGGAGGCTGGAAAAAGCCAGCAGGGGCTTCAGGATGACTGCTCAGAAGATGACAGAGACCTAGAGATGCCTCTGGGGTCAAAGGCTGCTTCAGAAGCAAGTTTATTAAAACAGAACCTGCAGGAGATAAAGTAGGTTGGACTGATCTTGATGTGAAGCTTTTCCTAGGGCATCCAAAGGAAACTTTGAAGCTCACTTGAGACATCCCACAACTATGTCACATTGAAAAGCCCTGTGTTTCTTGTATGTTAGATGTTTGAGATTCCTGTATACATCTGCTTGGAGAAATTTAACCAAAAAGGCCTCTGCTATTGCTGTTCATTTCCCATTTTATAAAGTATGTTTAAAGGACTGATCAGTGTCTGGCTTAAGTGACTCATCATCACCTCCTACTGAACCTCAGTTTCCAGGCAAGTTGGAGAAGGAAGAAAATCCTGTTGTGAGCTGCCCTTCCTCCCCACCAACCTTCCCCCTACTCCACCAAATGGGAACTATCTCTTTGCACATCATGGAATTTTCTGTGGGGCTGCCTGGAACACCCTGAGAAAGGGATGCCTTAAGAAAAGCACTCTTACAAAAATATACATAGCAGCTCTTTTTGTGGTGGCAAAGAATTGGAAATTGAGAGGATGCCCATCAATTGGGGAATGGCTGAGCAAGTTGTGGTACATGAGTGTAATGGAATACTATTGTGCTATAAGAAATGATGAACAGGCTGACTTCAGAAAAACCTGGAAAGACTTGTACGGTCTGATGCTGAGTGAAGTGAGCAGAATCAGGAGAACGTTGTACACAATAACAGCCATGTTGTGCAATGACTAAGAATGTTAAACTGAACCCTTCTTAGCATTACGAAGATCTAAGATATCTCCAGAGGCCTCGGGATGGAAAATGCTGTCCACATCCAAAGAAAGAACTATGGAAGTCGAATTGCTCTAACTTATTTTTACCTTCTGTTGAGTTTTGTTTCATCTTTCTGATGGTTCCTCCTATTGGTTTTAATTTTTACTTACAACTTCACTAATGTGAAAATATGTTTAATGGATATGTAAATGTAAAGCCTATGTCAGATTGTGCGCCGTCTTGGGGAGGGTGGGGGGGAGAAAAAGGGAGAAAAATTTTCAACTCAAAAGCATATGGAAAAAAAATTTTTTTTAAAAATTAAAATAAAATAAAATTAAAATAAAAAAAAAAGAAAAGAAAAGCAGTCTTAGCTATGGTATCCAGTGTCTTAGACTACTAACTTCAGTACCTTGAGTGTTTAGTCGCTGAATACAACTGGAAGTAAGATTTCTTTGTGTCTTCTCCTGTTTTACAGACTCATTTCCCAAATTGTGGTTTTTATCGTCTGAAACAAGAAGTACAAGTTGTGAGCTGTGTACAAAAGATATGACTGCCCAGAAACTCTTGGCTCAATGTACATGTGATGACTGCCTTGGAGAAAGGTAGTAAGCAACTTAATCAATCAGTCCCATTAAACTCTGGACATCCCACTGTAGGCAAACCCAAAGCCAGAATGAAACAAGAACTAAGCCTTCTAGAAAAACTTTAATACCTTCAGCTCCAGAATTAAAAAAAGAAAATTCACTGCCTGTAATGGAGAAGAAAATAAAATTTGTCTTTTCTTTTTAACTGAACTATGATAAACACTAAATTGAAGCTAACTGCTTTTTGTGAGTTAGGTGCCAAAAGTATGAGGAGGACACAGGAAGCTTTTCAGAAATAAAGATGTTGTAGAGAAGGAAAACAAAGATTCTGTATCATAACTAAGTTAAGAGAATGGAAAGAAAGACATTTTAAAATGTACTTAAATTACATTTAATCCACAGTTCTTCATCTCCTGGTCACAAAGGGTTGATAGGAAATAGACTAGATGGTGGCCTCAAAATGAAACCCTACACTGCCAGCTTGTTTCTCAGAAGAAAAGAGCAGCATCCCTTCAAATCTTGACTGAGAGAACCAAAACACAACGGTGCCTTTTGTGAATCAGAACAAAGTTGCTGCATATTGTCCCTCTCCCTTATACACCATGGCCTATCAGTCACCAAGTCCTGTTGATGCTTACCTCTCCACTTTTTCTCATACCTGCTCCCACCTCTCCTCTCCCATCACCCAAAACAGCCCCTCATTACCACCTGCCTGGAATACTGTACTAGCCTGCTAATAGATATTCCCACCCCTACTCTTCCTCCTCTAAATCCATCCTTTATACCAGTGTCAAATTAATCTTCCTTATGTACAGATCTGCTATTATTTCTTTACTTAAAACCCTCCAATGATTCCCTAATGATCAACAAAAAAAGGTCCAACATCTCAGCCTGGCATTCAAGGTCTTCCACGAGACGCCTTTCTAATCTTATCTCACAATACTCCCTTCCATACATGCTACAATTTTAATTGAATTTTTTCCTCACACATAGCCTATGATCTCTCATCTCCATGTCTTTGCTTACCCTGTTCCTCTTTTTTCCCAGTCTGTCTTTTGAAATCTTAGCCTTTCTTCAATGTCTAGTTCAAATGTCCCCTACTTCTAGAAGCCATCTCCATATTCAAGCCTGAAATTTTTCCTTCCTCTGACCTCACACAGCATTATGTACCCTTTTATATCCACTTCTGCACTAGTTATTTTGCATTTATTGCACAGTATTGCATGTATGTGTTGTAGCCTCCTATGAGGAATGCAGACAACATGAGGTCAGTGATCCTATTTTAATAATCTTTGTATATTTCTTCCAGAAGCTGGAACCTAGTAGGCACTTAATAATTGGTTACTGAATGAAAGAATGAATGAAAACCAACTGTGTATCCGGAATGTTTGGTGGTGCTTACCTTCTCTGTAGGATAAGCCAAGACATGGGGCTGTGTTGATGGTTGACAGGAATGGGGAGGGGATGTGTTGGCACTGAAGGATTCCTTTGTAGGAAAAGATGATTTTCCTATTTGTGGAGAGCAAGCTTCTGGCTTTATAACTCTGGAAGGACTTTTCCTAGGACTAGAAAAAGTTAAATCAAATTTAATAATAATGATTCTACTGAAATCTGTTAAAAATATTTAGTAACAAAAATTTTCAAAAGTCTTGCTAGAAAACTCCATATTAAGATGTTTTTTCTCCTTGCCAAATTCAGTATAAGGTTTTATTATATTTGTCCCACTCTTCGACTGAAATTTTGCACTTGCAAAGTGCAAGACATTTCCTATTTACCTGGAAATGAAAGTAGACTGGGCCCTTCTAATTAAGTAAGAATATCAGCCATATTTATTACTTAGTTTCATCAAACCATCTTTTCTCTATAGAGAAGTCATTACCTTAAGTATTTAAGGACTGAGACACAAGACTTAAGAAAAAGGAGGTAAAGATAACGTGGAGAGGATATGTACAGCGTCTGCTACCCTGAAGCATAAGGGAAATTTAGGAAGTTTTTCTGTAAATCTCAATTTAAGGCCAAGAATAGTTTTGTTTTGTTTTCCCCAATGCACAGAAGCCTAAACTTCAGCTCCTAGGTCAGAAAATGAGGGATTATGACAACTCTTAACGAACTTGTGGAAGGAGGGTTATGAACCTGCTGCAGAGACAAAGCCCTGAGCCTTTCAGCTTTTTCACTTGAACTACCCATGTGCTCCCCAGATGCTAATTGAGAAAGGTGCTCATACCATGCTCATTTGAGCAAACGTATGTCCTTCAGGTACCAATAAGTCCAATGCCAGAAAAATACTTTTGGCAACAGTATTCAAATTCCAAGGATGACAGAGTCCCATTTTTTCAGGATAAGTCCCTACTTTTTTTATATACATAGGGTTAATTTAGAAAATAAGAAAGAAAAACAGGCACTTACAACCAAAAGGAATGGAGAACGTTGTCAGAAAGAAGTGAGTGCCAAGACAACAGATGAGAATAGATACTCTGAGTAGCTAGGTCTGAGTCACTGGCTTAGATTTGAATTTCTATTCTTTAAAAAACATTTAAATAGTCAAAAAATGTTTGAAGAACAAATCATTCTAGTTTAAGCAAATTTAATTTTGTGACATTATGCCTACTTAAAGTATGGCGAAACCTGGACACCTCTGAGGTGCTAGGTCCTTCCAATGTGAAATCAAGGCTCCTGACTAGGAGTTATGACCTGGGGTTCGGAAATCTTCCCAAAGTCTGTGTCTTTTCCAAAAAAGGGCTGTTAATGACCTTCACTCAGGACTCTCCGGCTGATTTTTACTAAAAAAGGCCAGAGGTACCTTCTTCTTTCTCTCTGCAGGACAGACTGTACCTGACATGGGAGATGGACAGAGTGGTGGCGGCTTTACTGGCTTTTCCGCTGTTCTGCAGCTTGGTCCTCAATTCATTCATCTCGGCGTCTTTAAACTGAAGTTCTGACTGCAGCGACTGGAGCTAGAAGGCAAGAGACAGTCTATCCATTCAACAAATATTCTTCAAACACCTACTAGGTACAATACAGTATGTTAGGGAACGCAAAGACATAAATGAAAACATGTTGTGGATGAGCAGGTTCGTGTGTCTAGACCATCTTTAATACTGACCTAAAGATTTCACATCTTGAACTAGAAAAGGGAAACCAATAAAAAACAAGGAAAGGAAATTGCTGTAAGGCAGCTAATCACATCGAATGATCTCAAGTTCTAGCCTTGTTTCTGAATCTGGGCAAGAATTAATACATTATAGATCACCTCATTTATATAAAAAAGTGATTTCCAAAGCCTCCTTGATATGTATAGCCCAAATATCTAGAGTCTACATGCAGTGCATAGGGCTATGGGTCCATTTCGTTGGTGGCTTAAATGAAATGGGGTAGCTCAACCGCAATTGTAGGAGTTTGAAACTGTTGATAAAACTAAGGGTCTGTGTATCAGCTAAGTTCTGTGTACAGAGGACAACTAAAATGTAGGAAATCATTCCATCAGGAAGTCCTCTGTGTTAACTTTACTGGTGTGAAGTGCCCTTCAGGAAGCCCTAAACCTGGAATTTTATATGCTCAATGTGATTTTAACAAAAAATCAGAAAAAGCCACAAGAGCGCAACCAGAGATTTTAAACTGAGTTCAGCAGGGCACTGTCATGGGATGGAAATAATATTAGATTTGGACCCAGGAGAGATGGGTTCTGACATTTATTAGCTATGTGATCATGGGCAAGTCTCTTAGCTTCCCTGCACCTCATCTGTAAAATGGACGTAATGATGGAGAGATGATAGACTCAAAATGCAGAATGACACATACTTTGGATTTGGTCAGTGAATGAATTAGCTTTATTTGACTGCATATTTGTTACAAAAGTTTATTTTGTTGTTATTTAATGGGGATGGGGTGGACAGGAGAGAAAGGAGGGGGAGAGGAAGGCAAAGAATAAATGCTTGTTAATTAATATAGTAGGGAAAAAATGAACATTGTTCTTAAATTTTTATGGATCAGTGTAATATCCAGGAGTTTGTGGCCAGTATTTTTTCTGTAATGATGCTCTGGGCCTAGTATACCTTATTTGTTAAATAATCAAAGATATTTTGGTGTTTGTAATAAGAAGATTTGTTGTGTTAGTGATAGTGAGTTTCTAGTGTATTATTTTGGCCACTTAGTTGCATTTTTCTAGGTATTCAGTAGGTGCTAAATCTCTGAAAACTGCAATGACATGTTGTACTGTTTCTACAATTTCCTTGTAATGCCTAAATCAATAATAAGTCTGCGTGTCTTTTTGTAACTTCTGTAACCAATGATCTGATCCTGAAGTGCTATCACAAACTCCTCTGTTTCTATAAACAAATATGGATGACTTAGCCATTTGTTTGATGTTTCTTGGTCAACATATTGAGTTAATGTGGATGATGCCTGTAGAAAGCCTTTGGATTCTACTTGTCTAAGTCATTTCATTGGCTCCATCTGACTAGTCTCAGTTTCATTTGACAAATTCAGTGTTGAATACCAATTTCTCATCAATTTAATTCAATAAACATTTTTTAAGTGTCCTCTATGTGCCTGGTACTATGTTGAATTCTGGAGACACAAGAAAAAGAAAGACAGTTCCTACCCTCAAAAAGTTTACAGTCTAACTGGGGAAGACAATACATATTTGATCTAAATGCTAATGCTCCTTCAATAAAATGATAGAACTCTGGGAGGACTTTAAGCAAAAGGGCTATTTTGATAGAGTAAAGCTGACATCAGAAACAAAGGTAATGGACAGCAAATTACCTTTTTGGAGAATTCTTTTTCTTTGTCATTCAGGGCCTGAATTTTTTCCTGTTCAAGAAGGAAATGTGACCGTTTCTTTTCTTCTAGATTGGACTCTGTGTGATGTAATGAGTCTCGTAAGATTTTAATTTCTCCATTTTTAATGAGGATTTCCTCTTGCATTGCTTTCATCTGTAAATCCCAAATTAATCTTATGAGAAAATATCATCCGAGGAAAAGAGACATATATACTTAAAAGCTATATGTAATTATGATCTCCGGTTAAGGAGAGAGAAGAGTATACATATAAAAATACAACTACATACATATGCTAGCACAAACTAAGGAAGCAGCTAGATGGCTCAGTGGATAGAGTGCTAGGCTTGGAGTCAGGAAGACCTGAGTTCAAATTCAGCCTCATACATTCACTAGCCATGTGACCCTCGGTTGCCTTAATCCACTGGAGAAGGAAATAGCAAACCCCTCCAGTATCTTTACCAAGAAAACCCCATATGGGATCATGAAGAGGTAGACATGAGTGAACAACAGCACACACCAAATGTTGATGCAATGCTTAGGGTGCCATAAACTGTGAAAATCCTGTTGAAATGAAAAGCTTTGAAGTCACTCAGAGAGCTCAGCTTCTCTAAGTCAGAAGATCGACACGAAAGGTTAGAATTGATGGGTAAGATGGTAGAGAAAGGTTGTTCAGTCTACTTTATCCCTTAAATGAAGACAAAGTTCTGAACAGGCTTAACCAATGAGCCTGTGTCCATTTTCATTAGTCAAATCAAAGAAAGACAACATGATGGAAAAGAGTACTGGAATTGAAGCTAAAAGACTCAGGGTCTACTATATGCTCTCAAGCAAGTCATTTTATCTTTCAGAGCTTCAGTTCCCTCATCTGTAAAATGGGATTAAGAATCCTTCTATTACCTATTCTATAGGGTCTTTGTGAAGAGAGAATTTTGTAAACCTTAAGACCATATACAAATGTGAGCTACTATTATTACTGAATTGGCTTCACAGTAACAGGACAGGAAATAAATCAAAAAGCATTTTTGTGTTTACTGTGTGCCAGGTACTATGTTAAACACTGGGGATACAAAGAAAAAGCAAAAACAGTTCCTCAAGGAATTTATATTCTACTGAGGAGACAGCATGTCCATATACAGGTATATACAAAATATATTACAAGGTACATTTAGATGGGAGACACTAGCAGCACAGGACCAGGAAAACACTCCTATAGAAGTGGCATTTGGGGGGCAGCTAGGTCGTGTAGTGGATAAAGTACCAGCCCTGGAGTCAGGAGGACCTGAGTTCAAATCTAGCCTCAGATAGCTGTGTGACCCTAGGCAAATCACTTAACCCCACTGCCTAACCAAAAAAAAAAAGTGGCATTTGAAGTGAGTCTTAAAGAAAGCCAGGGATTTTAAGGTATGGAAGTGAGTAGAGAATACATTCTAATCAAAGGAACAAGGAGAGGAACAGTAAGTAGGCTAGTATGACTAGACTGAACAGTTGGAGAAATATGAAGACTAAAAAGATAAGAAGGGGCCAGGTTGAGAAGTACTTTACATATTAAATGAAGGAGTGTATATATTTGATCCTAGAGGCTAAAGAAGCCACTAGATTTTATTGAATGGTGTTGGGGGGGGGGTACAAGGGGGTAGTGTGTGGTCCAATCTGCACTACTAAGGAGTAAAGAACACTGTGCATCACTTACCTTTTCCTTTAGTTTTTCATGTTGTGCTTTAAGTTTTTCAAATTCAGAAACATCTTTAGCTGGAATCTTTTCTCTGCTTTTCTCTGAAAGATTTTTACTTCTGGACAATCCATCTTGTTCAGGAAACTTAGGGATTCCTGCCAGCAAGAATTTACTTACATTATGTCTGAATCCAGATATGCTGACGAGAATCATTTGTCACTATGAATAACCTGCAGGAACCCCCAGCTTAAGAGAACACTCAATTTACAAATGATCCCATATATTAAGTTCCCCTATACCACATCTATTTTCCTGAGCTCCCACTCTGCTGTCTCAAGGAGTCAGTGCCCTTGAAGCTCCAGCTCCAATAAAACCAAGTGGTGGTTTGATTTTGTGGTACCATTATTATTACGTATTAGGCTTTGGTGAGATGATATGGATACCTAATCACCTCCCTAGAACCTGAGACAGTGTTTAGAGGAAGCTGTTGATTACTTGAAACACAAGCTTTTGAAATACAACCCATTCCCAACTTGCAAACTGCCTGTGTGAGATGAGAGGGGTCAGGAAGGTGAGTAAACCTGTAGAAACATGCTTAACTTTATTCCAAAGTCAAACTTATCGTGCTGCCTATTTTCCAGACTCTGATTTAAGAGTGTTTTCACATCAGAAAAAGGATGAATCATTTCAGCCTGTCCATTAATACTGATATCACTGAAGCATATCTAGTCCCAGAAAGAGAGTGAGGTAGAGTATGCTAGCAGTCAGAGAGACTTGTGTTCATATCCTGATTCTCATAACTAGCTGCGTTACTATTGGCAAGTCAATCAAACACTCTGGACTTAGGCTTTTTCACCTGTGAAATGGGAATAATACCTGTAGTACCTACCTAACAGGGTTGCATAAGGACCAAATGATATAATGAATGCATAGCACCTTGAAAACTTAAAAAACTATATAGAAATGAGCTATTATTAGAATTATTGATTTTCCATTCCCCAACATCAAATTCCATGTACATACCAAGGGAATATTTTACTGTGCTGTCATTTTTGGAGAGCTCCAAATGCCCCACACTTTGACTACAGCTTCTAGCAGTTGAGGGAGAAGAGGACCTTGAGGCAGAATTTGTGTTCAGTGGGACCTTGCAGTCTAAATCTCGAGTCAAGGCTTGGGATGCAATGATATCAATTTCCTCCAGATCATCTGCTGTAAACTCTTCATTATATCCAAAGGAATCTTCTGTCTCCTTGAAATCAGTAACATCAAAGCTCTTGGACCTTTTATTAGGTGGAGAAATCCCTGGAGGGTCCTCCCTGTTATCTCTGCCATGGTGTGGGCGCAGGCCATGTAACTGCGCAGTGGTCCTCTTCTTGCCCCCCAGGAAACGGTTCCCTGAGTTCCCTGCCATTGTTGTTCTTCTGGAGAAATGGCTTGACACCCAGAAGATTCCTGGGTGGGAAGATGTGGGACTGGCTGGAGGGAAAAGTGGTATAAATGTGATGGGTTGCGAAAAAGGAAGAAGAGAGGTTGGATCATCTTAGGGCATCCTACCTTCTGTCACATCTCAACAAGAGTCACTCATTCTTCCAGTCATCCCCTATCTATGCCCTCCCATCGTTACCTCCCTTCCCCCATTCCTCCCCAGGTCCTCTCCTCACCCCTCCCCCACCAGTCCTCTCACCACCTCCCCTGACACCCCTTCCCGCACCTGCCCTCTCTCCACCCTCTTCCACCTGTAGTCTCCTCATCCCTCCCTTCCGGCCACTCCTCCCCTACCTCTCTCCCCATCCCGGTACACGAGACCGCTCTCGGACTCGAGCCGGCCACTCACCTCAGTTCTGCTGCCGCCGCTACCATCCCTTGTCAATCATCGCGTACGACCCGCCTCCCAACCATATAGACCAATCAGGCCCCAGGCTCCGGGCGGGAGGTTGAGCTCCCGGCAGGCCCGGGGATCAGGCGCTTCCGATTGGCGAAACAGCGTCGCCGGCGGCCGTGTCCCGAGCGCGCGATGATGACGTAAGAATGTTGGGAAAAGGGGTGCAGTGTCTGGGCTGGCTTGAGGTACCTGGCAGAAGGAAGCTTGGGAGCTATGGCGGTGAAAGCCGCGGCGGGAAGGATTGTGGGAAATAGAAGGGATTGAGGGTGGGGGGGACAGACGTCCGGAGGGAGAGGTGGGCGGTGCTGAGTCCAGCAGAGCTCTGTGGAGTCGATGCAAATGGTGCTCTTTCCGGGTCTTTGAGCTTCTCCAGAGACCTAGCAGGGAGTGGAGGGCGGAGGCGGAGGACAGAGCTGGCTGTGCTCCCAGAAACGTCATCTCTCCCGGGGACTCCAAATCCATAAGGCCCCTCTTCATTCGTTTGGATGTAGCCTCGCCCCCACGCCAAGTACGGAGAGCGGAACTGCGGCCCGAGGGAGGGCCTCCGAGAGTAGGCCGGGCGCCTCGGGCCTCTGATCGCTGCACTGTCCCCTTTGGGCCAAGCACTAGTTCCGTAACTTCATGCATTCATTCATTCACGCATTCATTCATTCATTCACGCTTTCATAGTTCCCACTGGGGACGAATATAGGAGGAAAAGCAGCGTGGACCGTGGTCCTTCAGGAAAGTTTTTGATCTCTTGGGATGTGGTCCTCCCGAGGCCGTGTGGGAAGGGAGGGACCTATTTTGGCCACCGGTAAGACTTGAGAGCTCCAGTCCAGCCTTCCCAGCACTGGCAGATCTAGTTACTTAACCTTTCATTGCCCCCAGGGCGACTCTAGAATGAACAGGGGAGGAGGGAGTCATCTTTGGCAGCTCCCCACAGTATACAGTAGATGAATTTACAAATCCCAATTTCCTCTCATCCCTCCCCAAAAAGTCAAATACTGAATGTCTGCCTGTGGTGCTCTCTGAGTATGACAATCCCTTGCCCACGTGGAACTTTCTATCCAGTTGGGGATAAATGACAAATAATGCAAAACAGTATACCAAGATTTCTTGAGGTAGGTGAACTTTTTTTTTGAAAAATATTTTTCCCAATTACATGCAAAAACATTTTTAACATTTATTTTTTAAGATATTGAGTTACAAATTCTCTGCCTTCCTTTCCCTACTCCTCCCTGAAACGGTAAGCAATTTGATGTAGGTTATACATGTGCAATCATGCAAAACATCTCCCTTAATAGTCATGTTGTGGAAGAAGACACGGTCTGTGAACTTTTTTAAAAAAAAATTTTAATTCCCATCTTCTGTAACAGGTCTTTCCAGATCTCCTCCCCAGCCCCCAATACCTTCACCCCTGAGATGACTGCACATGTATGTATTATACTATGTTTATCTGGCATTCACATGCTTTTTTGCATATTCTTCCCATCAGAATACAAGCTCTTAATGACAAGAACTAGTTTTCACTTAGCTGAAAGCCTGGCATATATTAAGCACTTAATAAATGCTTACTGACTTATTTTATGCATTTAAAATCTTTATTGAGAAGGGGTCCATCAGTTTCACCAGACTGCCAAAGGGGTCCATGACACCAAAAAATGCCAAGATCCCTTGCTGTAAACTCTAGCAGCTCCCTATTACCTGCAATATCAAATATAAAATTGTGTTTTGCTTTACAAGACCTTCATGACCTGACCCATCGATGGTACCTTTCCAGTCTTTTTACTCCAATGATGCTGGCCTCCTTGAGGTTCTTTTAACTCCAGGGCATTTTCACTTGCCCTCCCCTATATGGGGGAACTCTCCCTCCTCATCTCCATTTCCTGGATTCTCTGAAGGCTCAGATACAGTTCCATGTTCTGCAAAATGTCTTTGCCTGTCCCCCCCCCCAAGTGCCTTCCCTCTAAAACTAGCCCTAACTTATCCTGTATCTTAGTTGTTTGTATATTTTCTCCCACATTAGACAGTGAGCTCCTTGAAAGCAGTGACTGCTTTTTGCCCTTCTTTGTATTCCTAGTGCTTAGCATAACACCAGGCTCTTTATAGTAGGCTCCTTCATAAGTGTTTGTTGACCCAATGCCTATCAAGGCCAAGACTTCTGGAACTAAGTTCAATTTAAAACACTATAAAATGACCTCAGGACAAAATGAATTAAAGTTTCAGCTAGGCCTTCTTCTCAGAGTACTCTGGTTTCCCCTCTTCAGGATCCAGAGACTTTTGAATATTTACAGCTGGTTTAAGCTAAGCTCCAGATTTTGGCCCTAACAGCCATTTTTCATCTCTATACCCATAATATCTTTTACATACTAAGCACCAATTTGTTGAATTAATCAGAATGAACATAACAGCAAAGAAAAAGAGTACATTCAACTACCTGGTTTAATTTTATAAACATTGCTCTTTAGACCAGAGGCATTTCAAGCAGAGTAAGGCAGAGGACAGTTTCTAGACTGGGTCAACTCATCCCAGCTGAACTAGGAAGAGCTGACATGGAAAAAGAATAAAGACAACATAAGCCATCATGATTTTTAAAAAAAGTTTATTACAATGTACAATAGACTCATTAAGATAACACTTAATCTTGGCTACAGGCTGCTACAGATGTTGAAGTAGGAAATGCAGATGTCACAAAGCATGAAAGAAACCAACAGGAATCACCATCTTATCTACACAGGAACAGCTACTTTTTGCCAGATTTCTTAATCCCGCCACTGGCTGTAAGAGAAGAAAATATTATTCTAGAGAGGGAAGAATGCTGGGGGCTCATCTCTGGCCACTAAGCCCTGAAGATTTAACTTGATTTTAGCCTGAATTGCAATTCTATCCTACATGTCCGACTCACTAAGTAGGAAAAATAAATAGTCCTCACTTCTACTCCCTTCTCTCTATTCATACTACATGCCCTTCAAAACCTTTCCCTGGATTATTGTTATAGCTTACTTGGTCTCCCTGTACCCAGCCTCTCCCCTCTCTCCTCCATAAGCTATCCAGGAGCGGGGAATCTTTGGCTTCCAGGCCAAAAGTGGCCCTCTAGGTCCTTAAGTTCAGCCCCTTAAATCCAAACTTCACAGAACTTTGCCAAGGAGGCAGGTTCCCCACCCCTGTGCTATACTGTTGCAAAATTAATCTCTCTGAAGTCCCAGTATGACCAGGTTACTCCTCTGCACAAGAATTCAGCAACTCCCCATTATTTTTCGGGACAAAGTACAAACTTCTCTGTGTTTCTGCCTTTCTTTCCAAGCTAATTATTATCCCTACTCTATCCCTATTCCTATTATTATCACTACTGATAAATTGGCCAACTTGATATTTCCTCTTTAGGACATTCCACTTCCTGCCTCCTGGCTTTTGCCATACTGAGATGATGTCATTCCTCAGTTCCACTTTTTGAAACCTCCAGCTTCTTCAAGGCTTAGTTCCAATGCCATCTCCTTCAAGAGGCCTTTCTTGTTTTCCTTAATTCTTAGTGAAATCCCTTTCCCCCAGTTTCTATGTATTTATTTTATACATAGTCTATACTTCTCTGTAAACACTGTATCACACTGGTAGTTCATTCATAAGCTCTAAGGCTGGGACTGTCTCACTTTGTGTCCTCAGTATGAGGTACATAGTATATACCTTAAAAAGTGTTCTTTTACTTCTGTAAGCTGAATATAAGTTAAACCTTTTAAACAACATCACTTACAACACTAATAGGACTTTGTAATGTTTTTAAATGGCTGTCTTACATACTGGCATAAGTTTAGTTTTAGTCAATGTACTTTATTTATTTATTTTGGTTGGGCAATGGGGGTTAAGTGACTTGCCCAGGGTCACACAGCTAGTAAGTGTTATGTGTCTGAGGCCAGATTTGAACTCAGGTCCTCCTGAATCCAGAGCTGGTGCTCTATCCACTGCGCCACCTAGCTGCCCCTTAGTCAATGTACTTTAAAAGGAAAATGGAGATGACAAAAGCCTGAAAAATTATTTTAAACTGTGGAAAATATGTCTTATGAGGAAAGGCTATAGTTTCTGGGATTCTTTGGCCTGCAGAATCTTTCTGAAATTCGATCACTTTTAATTTATCTCCTTTAACAAAAGAAATCTAATAGCTCACATTTATGTAGCACTTTACAATTTATAAAATGCTTTCCTCACACCAATCCTACGAAAAATGTAGTTCACATACTATCACCCCCACACTAATAAGGAAACAGGTTCACAGAAGTTAAATGACTTATTCAGGGCCACTCAGTTAGTTAGTAAATGTCAGATGATATTTGAACCCAGCTTGCTCATACTCCAGGTCTAATATCTAGATGTGTAAGATCTAGTCCATTCCTGAAAGAAATTTACAGTTTGTTTGAGAAGGCACACAAAAAGTTAACAGAAGACCACATTTGGCAATGCCAAATAAATGGTACAGAACATAGCTGGTTTAAGAATTGGCAGTAAGCAAGAACCCTGTTGGCTAAGGTGTTCAGATAAGGCTTGATGGAAGGAACAATATAAGCAAGGATGTGGAGAGAGCAGTGAGGGGACTTGAAGGACAGAAGGTTTAAATGGGGGAACAGTGGGAAATAAGGTTGGAAAGTAGACATTTAAGACAGATTCTAGAGCAGTACTTGAAGGCTAGGCTACAGAGTTTGGGCAAATAAAATTTATTACTTATAAACATTTAATTAGCATTGTAAGCCCAAAGGCAAAAGGATTTAGGAAGAAAATGAATATTTATTAGGAAAAATATCATTTAATTTTTTTTACATGACAAGTTTTATTTAGATACTCAAAATGTTAAGCAACAATTAGGCAAAATGGTGAGACGTGGACTTTAGGGTAAAAATATACAGGAGGTCGCATGGCAACACTGACATCCACTGCAGTATATATAGATTTATATTTAAAAAACATTGCTAATATTGTAGAAGAAAATAACATGTTGAAAACAGAAAGAGCATTATAAAGGAAGTGTGATGTAGTGAATAGTGTTGGATTTGGTTGGAAGACCTGGGTTCAAATGCAGGTTTAGACACCTACTAGCTGTGCTACCTTGGGCAAATCACCTAACCTAGTTGTGAGGATCAAATGAAACAGTGCAAAATTCTCCAGCTCAGCTATCAAGTGTTAAAAAGGAAAGAGAACAGATGTCTGTGTGTGGATGTGTTCTTTTTTACTGTACTTACATGTTACAGGAAAAGGTTCTATGGGGAAGGGAGTCATTGGGAAGTGACCAATGAGAGATATATATGAAAGAAAAGTGTATTAATAAAGCACTTTTTAAAACAACAGATGGTCAAAGATTGGTTTGAGATATGACCTTAAAGATTAGAGATCAAGGAAAAGGCTAAAGGAAAGGTGGTAGAATGATTAAGACTGAGGGGGAGATTCCTGTTAAATCAAGATTAACAGTTAATGTGTTATGGGGCAGTGAGAAGGGGAAGTAGATAGAGCACTGGCCCTGGAGTAAGGAGTACCTGAGTACAAATCTAGCCTCTAGCCTCAGACACTTACTAGCTGTATGACCCTGGGCAAGTCACTGAACCTTGATTGCTTCCCTGCCCAATGCCAAGTTAACATACCAAGGATTTAGGATTTACTCATATGGGAACTCCAACTACTATTAAAACTTGCATATATATAACTTATAGTCTTGGTGAATTATCTGGCTCTTTGTGACCTTCCCCTGGTCACAAAGCAAGTAAATTTCAAACCTAAGTCTTTCTGACTCTGGACTCTTGACAATGCCCTCTAACAATCAGGATTTTCAATTGACAAAATGCAGACTTGCAGGTGCCAGTTAACTGCCCCTCCAGCTTAACAGTTTCTGAAAATCTGAGCTAAAAGATGCCACAAAAGCAACCTACAAATTGCCTGCATTACCAGCCAAGAATATGTAGCTAACATCTAGATATGTTGGGAAGAAATGTGATTTACTGCACAGAGCAATAGGTTTGCAGTTAGTCTCATACTGTCTACCTCAGCTCTACCTTTCCTGTGATCCTATCCTGTTCTGCTCTCTAGTTCCAATGTGCTCCCTCCCCTAGTTCTATTGTTAAACTTCCCTCTGTCCTAAATCTCATATCTTCATGTTCTTTCCATCTTTGAACACTTATTAATCTGGGTCCCCCAAGAATATACTGCATTTCTACATCTGACCACATTATCCAATTTTGGGTTGTTTCTTTTATAACCTCCCACCACAACGAGCTGGGAAAAACATACTCCTTGCTTCTCAATGATACTTTTAGACCAGGCCTGCACAACCTGTGACCCTCCGGCCTCTGTGCAAACCTGTTCTAGACTCTCTGCACTGCCTCCCCAATCATTTAGCAACCTCTCTTCCTATTAGGTTTATTCCACTGTCTGTATCTCCCTCTCTAGATCTGGTTTGCAGATTTATTAGTCCTCTAGATAATTCTCCATCTCATCTCAAGAAGTTTAGAAGCTGTAGGTTTCCTCTCCATGCCAATACCTGCCCTCAAACTTTGGAGTTTCAATATAAACTTGGATGTCCCCTCAAGCACCCTGGTGTCCCAATCTACTCCCATGACCAGTCCCATTCATCCAACTCCAACTTCACTCCTTCAGCCACAGAAATGGCCATTCACTTGACCTCACTGTAACCCACACTATTCTACCTCTATGGTCTACAACCCTGAAATTCTCTCTGACCACAAACTCTTACTCTTCAATCTTTCCCTTTGCCACACTTCTCTTAAACTTCACTATCACCTCCAATCACTCCAATCTCCTCTGCTTTCCCAGTCTGTCTCCTTCTCAGGTCTTACTTTTCTCCCTTTGTTCTTGACCTTATGGTTAAGGAACCCACCTATACAGCCCTCTGTCCTTGATTCCCTTACTCTCTTGTCCTATTGTTGCTCATGTCTTGCCAAACTCTAGCTCTGGGGCATCATCATAATCTACTTTTTCCATTCCCACTTAATTGCTACAGTACTCAAGGGGAGGATGTTGCAGAATTCTGGCAAATAAATCAACTACAAATTTACTATATGGTGAGAACTGATGTAGCTAGCCCAGATCCAGACAAATCTTATTTACTTACTTACTTCTGCACTCCAGCCTCCACCTCCAACTCAAGCTTTCACCTTGATGAGTATTCACCATTGTCTAGCCAGGACCTAGACCCATCCTCATCGCTTACCCTACTTCCTTCCTTTCTATTCCTCCTAATCTCCAACCCTAACTCTAATAATAATACTAATCAACTCAACACCCCCATAGTTGAAAAGGAGTGTCAATCACTTGCCCTTGATTCTAATTACCACTCTTCCAAAACACTCCTCCCTGGCTACTACTCCTTTATATGTATTTTCTTGTCTTTATTAGAAAGTAAGCTCCTTGAGAGCAAGGACTGTCTGGCTTGCTTTTATTTGTATCCCAAGCACTTAACACAGTGCCTGGCTCATAGTGTTTAATGTGCATTCATTCATCTATTCTCAACTGGGTCCATACTGCTACATAGCAATCTTTTTATTCTTCTAACAATCTATTCCACTCCCTTTTCTGACCTCATGTGTAACACTGCTCCCCCCCCCAGCAGATCTCTCTTCCTTTTATGAGAATAATTATTATTTTATTATTTTTATGATAATAATGAGAAATATTAATGAACTCCTTTTTCATTCCTATTTTATACCTCATGCTCTTCATCATTCCCCATTCTCTCATTTGTTCCAGTCCCTAACAAGAGGCAGCCCTTCTTCTTGCCAAGGCCCACCCTTCTATTTGCACCCTTGATCCCATTCTCAAGTCTTCTTTTGGATCTTACTTCTATGACCACTCAATCTCTTGTCCTCATTTTCTCTCTTTCTACTTACTGGCTTCTCTGTGTCTGACATATATGTTCAGGTCTCTGCCACCTTTAAAAAACCTTCACTTGACCCTGCTGTCCCCTCAAGCTGATATTACTCAGTCCTTCCAAAGCCAAACTCCCTACTACCCCCACCCAGTGGTTTATATTTGTTTCTTCACTTCTCATTCCTTCCCTCTTTGACCAGTTTCAAACCCTTGTAATCTGACTTCTGCACTATTATTCAACTGGAACTGCTCTTTCCTTGGTTACCAATAATCTGTCAATTGCTAAATCCAATAGGCTTTTCATTTGTTGGGATTCCCAACCTCTGTTGCTTTTAACACTGCTGACAGCCCTCTCTCCTCCCTCAGTTTTTTGGTGACACAGCTTCTCTTCATCATTCATGTCTTGGGCAGCCTTCTCTTCTTTCTCTAAACCCTTTCTTCATGATTTTATCAGTTCCCATGGATTCAGTAATCATTTCTTTGCAGATCCAGCCTTGTTTTTCCTGTGCTCCATTCCTCTATTTTAAAGATGCAGAATGTCCAACTGAACATCTCCACCAAAATGTCTCACAAGGTATCCCAAATTCACCATGCCTAAAACATGACTCTTTATGTTTCTCCCTAAACCCATCACCCCTCCTTAATTCCCTATTTCTATCAAGGATACTACTACCCTACCACTGACCCATAATTGGAATCTCAAGGTTGTCTTCAACTCTTCACTCTCTCTCACCCCTTTCATCTAGCTAATCAGTTGCCAAGGCTTGTCCATTTCACCTCCACAATATTTCTTGCATCCAGGCTCCTGAGAGCAGGAATATTCAGGGCAGTTGTAGCCTGTATCCTTCTCTCTACTTACATTGCTACCATGCTATTTCAGGCCTTTATCATCTTTTCTCTGAACTATGGCAGTAGCCTCCTAAGTGATGTCCCTATCAATTCTTCTCTCTAATCCATCCTCCACATATCTGGCAAAATTTTCCTAAAGCACTCTATGCTCAAGAATCTTCAGTGGCTTCTTATTGCTACTAAGGCAAAATACAAACTCATCTTTGTGGCACATAAAGTCCTTCACACTCTGGCTCCAGCTTATCTTTCTAGGTTGATTACTCCTCCTCATAAACATTATACTTTAGCCAAACTGGCTCAATTGCTGTGCTCCAAACATAACATTCCATCTTTGAATGGCTCTCCCCCTAAAATATGATCACTCCTTACTTCTCCCTCTTAGAATCCTTAGTTTTCTTCTAGGCTCAGCTCAGTTCCTTCTTATATGAGGTCTTTCCCCTCTTATTCCTCCAGTGTTTATGGTTTTCTTCTCCTGAAATTTCTTTGCACATTTGGTATCTCTCCAGTAGAATGCAAGCTCTTGAGGACAGGCTTTTTTGTCCTTGTATTCCCAGAACCTTACAGAGTTCCTTGTACTGAGTACAGTGCCTTTCACATAGTAGTTTTTTAAATAAATGCTTGAATTGAATTCATTTGGGTTTCAAGTCTGGATCTGCCACTTACTGTGTCCCCAGGCAAGTCATTTCATTTTTCTGAACTTTGGTTTCCTAATTTGTAAATTGTCCAACAATTAAAAAGAGATAAATGCTTAAAAACACTGTAACAATACCAGCTATTATCATTATGTGCTTCAACTAACATGTTAAAATTTAGTTAAAGCTAAAAAAAAATAAAGATTTAGCAGTGCTGTGGTTGTTTTTTTGCAATGGCAACAGCAATTTAATTTCTGAAAGTGCCTTTTATCTTTGCTAATGAGTACTTTCTATAGAAATTCAAAGGACTAGGCTTTTTAACAAAACTTACCAAGCGGTCCCTTCCCAGCAGCTTTTGCTTTTAACTCTTCCAGTTTTTTCTGTTCTTCTTTTTGTTTTTGTTTGAAAGCTATATCTTCCTAAAGAAAATGTGGAACATACTATTGAGGCCCCAGCTGAGCTGAGCTGGGTGACTATAACCAGCAGTTGCTGGTATTTGTCCCTGAGAATGTTTATAGTTGGAGTTGAAAAGATGTGGGTCACATACTGGATAAGCACTAGGAAGGCCTGGCCTGTGGGGGAAGGGGGAGTCTGCTCTCAGTGCTCATTCCCAACTAAGGTCTCCCCCTTTTTTATGCCTAAGCCAGTAAAGTTCACTCTTTTCCCCCAATACTTGAGGGACAGTATAATTCACCACAATTCCCTTGCCTATTACCTCCCACTGGGGTCTGAGCAGAATCAAGTATATGATATAAAACCTCAAATACCCCATTTTCCCCTACATGGTATCCTTTCACCTCATCCCAGATACCTCACCTCATCCATTTCCTTGGTTTGCTTCTTGGGCTGCTTCAGAGGCTTCTTCTTACCACCTGTCAAGGGATTTAGGAAGCCCTGTTGTTAAGATTTGGGAGACAGGAGCTGAAAACTCAGGGGGTGTTTCCTGCCTCTTGGGATGGAAGGCTGATAGCTGTCCCAGGCCTGGGGGAACCCAGAAATCTCAAGCTTTTCTTCCTGGGAGTCTGTCCCTCTCTTGGGCCGGTGGAAGGAGGGTTGGGACTCAACCTCCTCTTGTGCTCCTCCGTGCCTTGGCCTTGAGGAGAGTTCTAGGGGTCAGGGGATTCTCCTCTCCTGGTCCAGACAGAAGGGTCCGGCCATATCAGCAGCCCCTCTTGGGCATGGGAAGGGAGAGCTCGGCCCCGGGGCTCCCTCTCCTATAGTCCCGCGGTCTCGGGGTCCCCTCTCGGGAATGGCCAGGACATACAGCACCCAGACGGCTCGGCCCCCCCCCCCCCCCGTCTTTGGGCCACTCACCCTCGCGACCGGACATCGTGCCTACTACTCAGCTGCCCCGAGCCCCTTCGCTGCCGGAAGCGGAACCTTCGGACCTCCCCTTCCGCCTCCATCGTCAGGCTGATTGGTTCCTAGCTTGGAAATGGAGCCATGGTTTCCGCGTTGGGGTCAGAGGTCGTGGCCGGCTGGAGACCTGGCTGTTCTGAGCCGACGGTTATCGGTTCGGTTCCCGCGCGCGCCAGGTGAGGGGGCGGGGGCAGCCAAGCCCCGAGGCTCGGCCCACGAGCCTTTGCAGGGGTCCCCGGCAAGAGGAATAGGGTCTGGAGGCTCTCGGGCCGGTCTGAATGGTCAGGCTGGGCACGCTAGGAGGGAGGCTGTCTATCAGGCTAGCTTGCTGCTAGCGCCCTTGGCCCTGCTCGGAGGCTTGGCCTGGGGGTCTCCCACCCTGGCGGGTCGGGAGGTGCCCCAGGCAAGGCCCCTTCCTTCCTATGCTCCTGCCCGACTGTCGTGGGAGAAGCCACCTGAAGGCCTTGGCGGTCAGGAAACCAGGGAGAAGGCGGGAGGAGGAGCGGTCAGGACCCTGGAGGGAGGGGGCCTCCCTCTGAACTTGGTAGAGGGGAATGGGGGGAGGCCAGGGAAGACCTCTTGAGGCCGGTGGCCGGGGGTGGGGGCGCGACCCAAAAGAGCAGAAGGTGGGGAGGGGGGAGTTTCTGTCCCTTGGAATGAACTTTTTCTTAAGGATTCGGTGCCTGGACCAGGGTCTAGCCCGTACAAACTTGTGAGACGAGGGGACTCAGCGTTAATTATTCCTCATCCCTGAACCTGCAGACCCTTTTCTGAACCCAGCTGGAGGGCCTGACCTTCTTGCATTTTTTATCTTTTGTAGTATTTTCTGCAGCTGTCATAGATGAGGAAAAAAGTCTAAAGAGGTGTAAATGACATAGAAGATTACCCCTTGTCAGCGGCAGGATTTGAACCTCATTTTCCTGAACATACTTGCCTGTGTGACCATGGGTAATTGACTTCTCAGTGCTGCAGGCAACTTTTATAAAATTGAGTTTGTCTTTTAATGTTCTCTGTCCTGACAAAACTGTCCCCCCCCCCAAAAAAAAAGAGTGGCATGTGGAGGGAAGCACCATAAGGACAAGGCCAGGGTCATCATTTTTGTTTCCCCCATTACATGCTTGATAAAGTTTAAGTACTTACTCTGTGCTCAAGTGCCTAATAGACATCTCAAACTGGATGTCCTGTTAAACTCAACATGTCCAAAACTGAACTCATTATCTTTTTCCCCAAAACCTTCCTCTGTTCCTAAATTCCCTATTCTTGAGGGTGCCACCATCCAGTCACCCATGCTGGAAGTTGTCTTCTCACTTTCACCCACCACATTCAATCACTTGTCAAGTCCTATCATTTCTACCTTCATAGCATCTTTTGTATATATGTCCCTTTTTCTGATACTGCAGCCACCCTAGTGAAGGCTGTCATCATCTGAGGCCTGGACTCTTGAAGTAGTAGGCCTGCTAGTTGATCTGCTTGCCTTAAGTATATTCCCACTCCAGTCTATCCTCCCTTAAGCTGTCAAATTGATCTTCCTAAAAGCATATGTCTGGTCCCTTCCTACCTCTCCAGTTTCCGAGCTCCTATCACCTCCAGGATCAAATGTAAAATCTTCTGTTTGACTTTTAAAGCCTTTCATAATTTGGTCCCTTCCTACCTCTCCAGTTTCCTTACACCTTATTCTCCACATATTCTTCAATCCGATGACATTAGCCTCCTTGAGCTAGACACTCCATCTCCCCAATCCAAGCTTTTTCACTACCTATGCCCCCATGCCTGGAACTCGTTTCTACTTCCTGGTTTCAAATCTAAGCTAAAGTCCCACCTTCTGCAAGAAGTTTTTCAGAGGTTGCTTTAATTCTCTATTAGGCTACCCCCAATTTATGCTGTATGTATCTTTGTACATTGTTTGCATATTGTTTCCCTTAAGGGCAGGGACTTTTTTTCCTTTCTTTGCATCCCTGGTGTTTAGCACTGTACATGGTATATAGCAGACACTTTAGAAATGCTAACTGATTGACTGTTGGGGAGATAAAGATCCAAAATAATAAAAAATGACAATTGTTCCGTCATGTCCACTTCTTTGTGACACCATTTGGGGTTTTCTTGGCAATGTTACTGGAGTGGTTTGCCATTTTCTCCAGCTCATTTTAGAAATGAGGAAACTGAGGCAAACAGGGTTAAGTAACTTGTCCAGGTTCACCCAGCTGTTAAGTGTCTGTGGCCAGGTTTGAACTCAGGAAGATGAGTTTTCCTGACTCCAGGTCCAGCACTCTGTCCACTGTACCACTTAGCTTCCCCAGAAGTGACAGTGCCTGAATTTAATGAGCCTGTTGTACTAGGGAGAAAGGTATGATTACATAGACAGGTATGATACAGGGGAGGATTTGAAGAAGGCAAAGGAAAGATAAAAAATTAAGCTAGATGCTGTGTAGATACTTAATAGAGCCTTGTTGATTGATAGGAAAATTGGGGAGGGAAAAAAAACACTCTTAATTGGGGGAATTAGAGAAAACTTCATGGAGAAAGTGACACCTGAATCAGACTTGAAGAGAAAGATTCTGAAAGAGATAAAAGAATTCATACCAGGCATATAGGATAGCATGTTTAAGGAATACCTAGTAGTGCATTTGACTGGAGCAGAGAACATGGAGAGAAAATATTGTGAAATAAGAGTGAAAAGTAAGTTGAAGCCAGATTTTATTGGGTTAAGGAGTTTATATTTTATTGTATGGGTAATAAGGAGTCACTGAAAGATTTTGAGCAGAGGAGTCACAAGATCAAATCTGTACATTTGGAAGGTTATTTTGGCAGGGTAGAATAGAGAGTGGAAGCAGGGAGCCCGATTAAGAATCTGTTAAAATGAGCTAGGATAGAGGTGATGAGGTCTGAATGAGGGTGGTGGCATTGTGAATGGAGATAAAAGGATATGGGTGATTCTGTGCAGGTTAGCAAATGAATTTCTTTTAAGCTTGCTTCGAGGTTTTTCCATGGTCATTGGACACCTGTTTTGAGTATCAAGCAGTATAAAATTAATGCCCCATCCATTAGCAGGTCTGGCTGTGCTCTGGAGTATTTTTTCCCGCAGGCTTGTAGCTCAATAGTATTTTGGCTTGGATACAGAATATTTCTTAAGATAGGTAGAAATGTGGATTAGGAAATTAGAATCATCTTCTTTGCAGAAAAGTGAATAATAATCAGGCATTTGGAAATTAACAACATGTGCACTTCTCTTGAAAAGAGAAAGGATTAAGGAGGACATTTTGTGTGTATGTGTATGCATGTGTATAAATGTGAATCACTGCTATTATTCCTTTTTCATCAGTACTGTATTCTTTCCTGCATTTTTGGCCTTCCATTATTTTTGGTTGCCACCAGATGTCACTATAACAGTCTGTCTTAGTGATTAGATTTTCTATTTGGGCAGTAATTTGACCAACACAAAACAGCAATTCCATATTTTGGCAGACTTGTAATAGACATGAAAAGACAGGACCAGAGAGGTAGGGGTAGAAGAAGGAGCGCTACGAGTTGGATAGTGGGGAAGATTCTGTATTTGAATAGCCCTCAGCTTCTCCATTTGCTTAGGACAAACATCCAAAAGACTGAAAAAAAGGAAAGATTAAGGAAAAATCAATCTGTTGAGCCTGACTGAGCACTAAGAGAAGTAGTGGGGAAAGGGAGAGATTAGAGTAGAGGATTGAAATGTGAGATGCAGGAATCAAATAGCCTTGGAGTCCTGTGATTAAATGAAATTAAGAGGAAAAAATTGGACAGAATACAAGAAAAAAATATTTTTCTGTGAAGATCTGATTTTCTTATACAATTGTCTCCCTTCGAGGAAAGGCAGAAGCCACTTTCCTTGAAACTATATACTTCAGTAGTCATAGAAGTTTCTTATGGAATATATGCCTGATTTTTTGAAGAAAGGTTGGAGTCTGGCAGGGAGGTAGTTGATTGGGCTTTTTTTTGGAAATGATACCGAATCCTAGATGTTTCCTGAAATCCTGTCTCAGGTTTCCCCAGGGGATTTTTATGCCTCACTCTGCCCTGCTGAGCTGTTGTCCCCATGTTTCCCTCCAGTTTGTCATCATATTTATAGGAGTTATAGTCTGAGTAGGCCTGGGCGTCCTTTTCCTCAGGCACAAGATTCATCCAGCTCATTAACAGGGATGTACCTGTTCTTGGAGAGTAGCCAAAGCTTTTGTAGGAAGGTATAGGCTTTGGAAGTGAGGACAATGTATACTATTTGCTGTTTGTGTCTAATTAAATACAGGTAGTGATAAAAAGACAAAATACATTAATAAATTTTTTAGAAAATTAAATGTACCATCCTTCAGAAGTGAGAAGTTGTGGGGTTTATTATCTGTACTGTCCAAAGTGATCAAAATGTTAGTTAATTTTTTTTAAGTCTTTTTTCCTTTTAAAATATTTGTTACAAGGAAAAGCTTGCTGAAAAGGGAAGAGAGGAGGAGGGATATATTTAGGACTTCATGTGATTAAAACAAAAGGCATTAATAAAAATTTTAAACAAACAGGCAGCTTGGCCTACTGCCTACTGGGCTGGCTGTGGAGTGAGGAAGAAAGACAGGGTTCACTTTCTGCCTCCAATTCATGGGCAGATGTGTGACCATGGGCAAATCATTGATCTCCTCAACGTCCCAGGCAACCCTGTAAGACAAAGAGTTACTGTGAGTTGCAGGTCAGGGTAGGTGGAGGGTTTCCATGTTGGTGAAATCATAGGTCTGGAAAAATCAAACTAAGAAATGTACAAAATCTTTCCATTGAACCAGTTTACTTGAAAGCTCTGAGGAGAACCATTCTCCAAGTAGAGGGTGACTAATAGTCTATAGATCATCATATTTAAGGAGTGTTCAGGTAATACTTATTTAAATGAAAATATTTTGTTCAGACATTGTTCTGTCTTAAAAATTATAAATGCTTGAGCTTGGTTTTATGATTTTCTTGGTTCTGAGTAGATATCTTTTGTGTCCCTTTTCCAGCATTCCTCATTGCCTTGCATGAATTCTCAGGCCTAATGATGGGGCATACTAACATTTTTGTGATGCAGCACATCGTGAGTTCACCCCAGAAATTGGAGCTGAGAAGCCAAAGAATGAAACTCTTCATTATGAGGACCTTCTACAGCCCAGGTCCCATCCAGCCGAAAGGGAAAACTTCTGCAAAAACTGCCATCAGACTATATCATAGACTCACTGAGATGGGTCGAACCCTGGGACAGAATTTACAACAGAGAGTATCTTCTGTGGCCAAAACTTGGTGGGACAGTTATGAAGAATTCGTTGGGCTAAATGAAGTTCGAGAGGCCCAGGGGAATGTGACTGAGGTAAATACTACAGATGAGAATCTAGAGCTCTTATCACTTTTTATGGTGGGTGCTACTATGATATGTTATTTCTGGCTAATGCCATCCCCAACAGTGTTTAAGCCATATCCAGCCTTTCTTTCCTGGCTAGCAAGCTTCAGTTCTTTAGTGCCACTGGGTTGGAGATACTGAATGTGGTTTTAGCATGTCACTCAACCAAACCACTGCCATTTTCCCCTCCCAAGTCTCTGGTCATTACCTTTTATACACTTAGGTCCAATAGCTGATTCCTTTGTTGGTGTTGAATTGGTGGTGTTTGTTTGCATTTATAGTGATTTTATAGCACTGTAATTAAAGAGCATTTGTGAAAGAAAAAAATTGAAAAACATTCTACCTATACAGGGTGTCCCAAAAAATCTTAGTGCCAGTTAAGCTTTAAGAGCTTAAAACTGTACTGACAAAAGTCAAATCCATCATAACTTCAGTGTGATTACATTTCAGCTCTTTCCATAATAACAGTGAGTATAGTTTATTTACAAAAACACTGGAATTTGTGGTATTTTCTCCACAGGTGGAGAATTGGGTAAATATTCTACTTTTCATTGTATATCATGTGTGTGTGTTTACATACACATATGTATGTATGTATACACACACCACATCAGTGTTTTATCTTTAATTCTCATTTAACCTTTGTTACTTAGTTATTAAAATTTTAAATAGAAAGCTTCCTTTCCCCTCTTTGAATGGAGAAACATGAATAAGGAATAGGGAAAGAGTAGAGTAGATGGTAGATCTACGGATAGACTGAGTCCTAGATTCCCTCTTTTGTAGACATAGTTCTATCCACATTGACAACAGAGTGCTGAGCCTAGAGTCAGGAAAACCTGAGTTCAAATCCATTCTCAGACACTTACTAGCTGTGTGACCATGGGCAAATCACTTAATCTCTGTGTGCTCAGTTTCCTCCTCTCTAAAATGGAGATCATAACAGCACCTGTCTTCCAGAGTTATGAGGATCAAATAAGATAATATTTATAAAGCATTTAGCACAGTGCCTGACATGCAGTAAGCACTTAATAATTGCTTATTCCTTTCCCTTATAGTAGTGTAAGAAAAACAGGTTTGATATTTTGTCCTTTTTTACATCTATCTTCTACCAGAATAAAATAAAAATAGAAGGAAAGGAGAATTACACTAGGGCAGCCAGAGTGCCAGTGTGTAACTATGTCCTCCCCCATTCCTAGTACTTCACTTATTTTAGGAAAGTAGTTCACCTTAGAAAGGGGGACATACTTCGTTTCTGTTTTTCTTTCAGGCAGAGAAAGAGTTCATGGTGGCTCGAGGAATTGTCCGAAAGGCTAGAGATGACCTGGAAGTTCACCAGGCCAGACTCAAAGAGATTCGGGATCGTTTGGATCGAGTTTCCCGGGAAGATATGCAGTACTTGGAACTTGCAACTCTGGAACACCGATTGTTGCAGGTAGGATGAATCTGGAGCTACTGCAGTCATACCTCTTTACCAACAGAAGTGCAGGCTGGAGCTTCCTGTTAGGGCTATAAGTCTGGCTCCCCTAACAAGTCTGTGTTACTATACACTCAGGAGAAATGGTAGATGTGTTTGCCTCTGGAAAGCAAAAGCAATTTGTTTTGTGACTTGTTCATTAATGTCTTCAAAGAGCACTGATAGAACTGAAGAACAGGAAAGGAATCACTGTTATTATATAATAAGTATTCTATTAGTATCCTATTATCGTTTACTAATATATTAATGTTGACAAAATAAAATTGATGGGTAGCTTTGAACACTTCTTTATTAACCAGCTAAATTCAAATTTTATTTGCTCTCCTCTACTGGCTTATTCCCCATTGCCTAAAAACATAACATATCTCATCTCTCCAAAAAAACAACCAACCCACCCAAGTCTTGATCTTGTCAACCCCTCAAGCTATATTACTCTTCTGTGGCCCTTTGACTCCAAACTTCACAAAATAAATTCCCTTAATAAATGGATTTGTTTTGTAAAACTTGGACTCAGTCAAAAGGCCACACCCAAGGACCTAGAAGGCCACATGTGGCCTTGAGGCTGAAGGTTCCCCACCCCTGCTCTTCTTCTTTGCTAGACTGAAAAAGAGCCTATACTTGCAGTTTGTACTTTCTCATCACCTGTCTCTGTAGTCTGACTTTCATCCCTACCACTCCATTGAAACAGCTCTCTTCAGGGTTACCAGTGACTTCCTAATTGTGCACTCTGTAGCTTTTCAGTCCTAATCCTCCTTGACCTTTCTGTAGCATATGCCATCTTTTCCTTAGCAATCTCATTTACTCTTATGGCTTCAATTATCATCTTTCTGCAGGTAACTCCTAAATCTACATATCAATCTCAGTCTTTCACCTAAACTCCAATCTTATATCTTTAGCTGCCTGGTAATAAAGTACATGTATACTGCTGACACCTCAAATTCAAGATGATCACAGCTGAACTCATCATTTTCCCCTAAAACTTGTTTCTGTCTTCTTATTTTCTCATTTTTTCTTTTGGTGGGGCACCACCATTCCCCCATTCTCTCCTGTTCCAAATCTTGGGGTCATCTTTGATTCTTCCCTTTGTCTCACTTCCCATATCCAATCAGTTGCTAAGTCCTGCTATTTTTTAGACAATATTGTTCATCTGTGTCCTGTCTTCTTTACCCACATTGCCACTATCCTAGTTCAGGCCTTCACCTGTGGTGGTATGGACAGCTGTAGTAGCCTGGCTGTTCTATTTCAAGGCTTAACCCTCACAAATCTGTCCATCACACAGCTGTTGAACTGGCATTCCTGATGCATTGATCTGAGCATCTTCCTAAGAACTCAAAAACTGAGGAGGTCCCTACTGCCTATAGGATAAAAAATAGATTGCTTTACCCTGGCATGGAAGGCCATCCATCGCACAGCTCCCTGTTGTCTTTTCAGCTTTATTTCATACAGTGCCACTCATGTACTTTATTTTCCATTCAAACTATTAGCTGACCCCATTTATAAAATGAGGAAGGAAGGTACTCTAAAATGCCTACAGCTGTGAATAGATGATCCTGATCCTGATTTTCCTACCTCTGTATATTTGTAAAGACCCTTCTTGCTTGGCATGTATTCATTCCTCCTTTCTAACTTCGTTTTGAAATCTTTTTCTTTAAAAACTAACTCAAGTGCCACTTCGTCTATGAAATCTTCCCAGATCCTCTTCCCACCAAAAGTGATTGCTCCTCTTGTTTTTCCACAGCGCAAAAAGGTTGTGTCTGTGCCCATGACATAAACTTTGTGAGGGCAGGAATCATGTTGTTTTTCATTATTGTATTCTCAGTGCCTAGTACTATAGTAGATACTTCACAGATTTTTGATGAGGTAATTTGCATCTCCCATCTTAGTGCTTTGTGGTTCACAATCAGGGCATGTCTCTTCCCTACCCCCTCCCCATCTATGTCTTTGATGGAGGGGTGAGGGATAAAGTACAGTATTCATATCCTACTTCTTTGGGTTTCCATTGACATAAACTATATAGCTTTAATTCTGTTTGTTGTTTCTGCAGGAAGAGAAGAGGCTCCGAACAGCCTACAGTAACTCAGAAGAGTCGGAACGAGAGAAGTTTTCCCTCTTCTCTGCAGCAGTGAGGGAAAGTCATGAGAAAGAGCGAACAAGAGCTGAAAAAACGAAGAACTGGTCAATCATTGGTTCAGTTCTAGGGGCTTTGATTGGTGTCGCTGGCTCCACCTATGTGAATCGGGTGCGGTTGCAAGAACTAAAGTCGTTGCTTCTAGAATCACAGAGTGGACCAATGAGTCTGCAGGAGGCCATCAGAGAACAAGCTTACAGCCACAACATGCAGAGCAAGGATCTCAGTGACCTTATTGAAGAATTTAGGAGTTTAGTGCACACTGGAATCAAGGTGTCTTCTGGAGCTCAAGAAGATGCCACTTCTGCTGGAGAAAGTCTTATATCTCATAAAGATACATACTTACTTTCAGCCTCTTTGAAAGAACAGCTCAGCCAATCTCAGCAGGTTCATTCATGTCTAGAGAGTTTACAAGAGCAGCTTACTGCCCTGAACAAAAAATTTAGTCAAATGGTTGCAGAGGTTCAGCTTGTAAAGGCTCCAGCCCGTTCTCAGCTTGTAGAGCAAGCAAACCACGCTTTGCCGGACTCTTCACTGGACACCAGGCAGTCCCTGGTTGCCCAGGGTGTGATTCTAGAGCTGTCAGACATGGAGCAGAGGTTGGAGGCCCAGGTCAACAGGAACTCGGTGTACAGCACCGTGCTCACTTGTACCATGTTTGCTGCTATGCTGCCGGTGCTGTACATTCTCTTCAGAGCCAACTAGCTGTCTCTGGAGGGAAGCTTCAGTGAGGAAGAAGAGTTGTTGGATTTAGTATTGAGCTGGCCGGCACCTTACTGCTTTGTCTGTTTAAGTCACTTGGAGGTTACTGGTGGTGAAGCCACCCAGAACTTGTGAGCCTGGCTCCTAAAAGGGGAATAGTTAGGCAGCAGGGTTTTCTTTTTCAAGATTTACCTTTTTAAAATTCCGGCTCACATTCTATATTCATTTACCAGCTTTGCACTTTCATGATTTGTTCCACAGAGGGAAAAGGATTACATTTGAAATTATGTTATTGAAAACAATTTAAAAACTTCAAATTATGGTAACAGCCGAAATTTACATGACATTTTAGTTTACAGAGCACTTTATATACACTATCAGTTGATCCTCACAACAATGTGATGTAGTAATGAAAGTCCAAGCCAATTTGGTTGAACAGATTGGGAAAGCAGTTCAGCAGTATGGATTTAAAACCATGAGGTTCTATTAATGTTAACATTTACCTTCATAGTCCCTGTGTTTTCTCTAGGTTCTCCCCAGTGTTCTTCTCTACTGTTGTCTGCATTCTATGACATTTTTAGTATCATGTCACTTTGTGTTGGGAGTAATTATTTTTGATGTTTCATGTGTCTGCATTTTTAATCTTGGTTTTCCTTTTCCTGATGTGACTTGTATTTCCTAGACCTTCTTGTGTCTAAGTATTTATGGGGTTTCTGGTCATTAGAATCTGGGAGTCAGGATTCCTAGGTGCTTGTCTGCTGGCTGACCAGGGAATCCACTTCCCTGTATGATTTAGCTGTTCTGTGCCATCTGTCAGGTGGGAAGAGCTCCCCTTGCCTTTCTTTTTTTCCTTTTCACCTTCCCTCCAGACACAAGGAAGAATTAATGTCTGATACTTGAAACAGAATTCAGGGTGGGGGAGTGGGGCTGATGGTAATGGATTGTGTTGGATTGGCAGCATAGAGAAAGGAGCTTGCTAAACGAACAATTTGCCTGTAGGGAAATAGGATTTGGGCACTACCAAAGAGTGTGTAAACTTTCGCTCTCTACAGCCTGGAGATGCTCTCTGAAAGTATCTCATTTTGCCTAAGGCAGGATGGGAGGAGAGCTGGCAAAGTGTATCCCATTGATAGTGTGAACTGAAAAGCAGTGAGCTGGGTGGGGTGAATTCCAGAAGTGGAAGTCACCATGCTAGTCAGACAGGGGTTGGGGGGAGGGAGGGGGCAGGCAGGTTGGATGGTGGCAGATTCAGTTCTGAGTGAACCCCACCCCGACATGCCTGCTCCAGTACAGGAGGGCTGCCTGTTGTTCCTTCAAACCTTTCCTGCCCTATCAAGCCTCAGACAGGCTTGCTCTGTATCAGCGTTTCCTTTGTGTTGCTAGGTAAGAACTCACAGTTGAATAAAAGATAACAACTAATATGGCCATTTATCATTGTTATCATCATTTTTTATTTAGAAAAGTTTGTAGGAAGCTGTGTTGTCCACCACATGGGAACAAAATTGAGGGATAGCACCACCAGTGGCTCACTGCAATTACATACCCTTTGTAGTTGTACATTAGTTGAGCTGGAACTGGAACCTGGGAAGATTCCTCCCAGCATAGTATCTTAGCTCTTGGAGAGGTTCTGTCCCTACAGTGGAGCCTGGCACTAACTGTACATCTGAGTAGCCCGAGGGGGATGACAGTTTTCTAAAGGGCTAAAGGCACATTAATTTAGCAAACATTTAATAAGTACCTCCTCTATACAATATAGTATGTTAGGCACTGAAGATGTAGCTAAATAAGGAAGAGTTCCTGCCCTTATCATAAAATCAGAGGAAGAACATTTAGATGTCTTGTAGCCCTACATACCTGAGCAAGAATACCTTCTCTAGGTGGCACAGTGGATAGAGCACCAGCCCTAAAGTCAGGAGGACCTGCATTCAAATCCGGCCTCAGATGCATAACAGTTACTAGCTGTGTGACCCTGGGCAAGTCCCTTAACCCCATTGCCTAGCAAAAAAAAAGAATACCTTCTCCAACACAAATGTCAACCACTTGACCTTCACAACTCTCCTGAGTGCTGCCTTAATCAGATTAAAATGTAATTGGGAAATATTTAACAAAATAAAAATACAGTAAAGTGTAATATTATGTTTTAAAATTTGTCAATATGCACTCACAGGGATCTTTATGTATGGATTAATGGCTGCCATTTCTTTTTGAGTTTGACATCACTGTTCTGAAATATCCCTGACAAGCGGTCAATGCAGCATTTATTTGAAGACATTGAGAAATTTAGAGTCATGACCTCTTTAGGTAATTCCATTTTTGGACAGCTCTTAATTGTCAGTTTTTCTCTAATTTTGACCCAGAAACATACTCCTATTCCCCTTGCTCCTAATTTTGCCCTGTTGGGCAAAGCTAAGGAAGTCTAGTTCCTCTTACACATTATAGCCCTTCAGATACCTGAAGATGACTATTTTCAACTAAACATGGGTTGTTTCAGATCATTCTTGAAAAGAAAGCTCGCTAGTTCTTTCACCATCTTGGTCACACTCTGGCTTGAAAATGTCCTTTCCAAAATCCAGAACTAATAGTCCCTATGTGGTATGACCAGAGTATTCTGTAACCTTTCGTTCTGGACACTATGTTTCTATTACTATGCTCTTAGATTGCATTAGCTTTTGGGGGAGCCTTGTCTCACTGTTGATAACACTGATCTTATAATTTACTGATCTCACAGATATTTTTCATATAAACTTGTCTCCCTGCCTTTCCCATTCTGTATTTGTATAGTTGACTTTTTTTAACTCAAGTACACAGCTTCACATTTCTCTCTTAGTAGGTTTGACCACCATTCTGACTCCCGTGAGGGATCCAGAAGATCACTTTGGATCCTGATCCAGTTATTCAAAATGTTATCCCAGCTTCATATCATTAGCAAATTTGATAAGCATGCCTTCATCATCCAAGTCACTGATAAAAGTGTTGCATAGAACTAGGCCAAGGGGATGGCTTAAGTCTGGTAGAGGAGATAAGAACACTAATGAGTACAGTGGAATGTTAATTGCACGAGAGAAGTACAACTCTGGGCATTCATGAGAGGGAGATGTCATTCATGGCTGTGAGTGTAAGGGAAGACTTCATGGAGGAGCTGCCATTTGAGCTGGGCCCTAAGTCACAATTAACATTTTGATCAGATGGACATGGAAAGGACATTCTGAGAACAAGGAGCTAAGTTAAGGAAAATAACAACAGATGGGAAAGTTTAGAACATGTTTGAGGAGTGATTTGTTTAGTAATACACAAGGGGCAAGTAATATGAAATGAAGTTAAATAGGTAGGTTAGGAGTGGATGAGTGCCTTGAATGCTGGGCTAACGAGTCTAGACTTTGTTCAGGCAATGGGAAACCGTTAAGATTTTCGAGGTGGGAGTGGGGGTTGGGTGGGATAGGTGACAGCTATATATTAGGAAGATCCATCCCCTTAGACACAATGAGTTGCAAGACAGGAGAATGAATGAGAAATATAGGAGAGAAATCCTCAGTAGAGGGATGAGGGTGTTATCTTTTGGGAACTGGTTTCCCTAGCTTCTCCATCTTCCCAAACTGCTGCCCTGAAATCTTTTGCTATTGTGCTTTTATTCACTCTGATAATAGCTACAGTTCTTTATTACCATGAAGGACTGGATTGGACCCAGCCCAGGACTAGAGACTCCAATATATAACCTCTTTTCATCAGGACCTCATTTTTTTTTAAGGCAATTGGGGTTAGGTGACTTGCCCAGGGTCACACAGCTAGTAAGTGTCTAGTGTTTGGTCTGAGGCCGGATTTGAACTTGGGTGTTCCTCCTGACTTCAGGGCCAGTGCTGTATCCACTGCGCCACTTAGCTGCCCCTTAAAACGTATTCAAACTTAAATTGTATTTTCTTTTCATCTCAGTCTTTTTCTTTCTTTTTTTTATTTTTAATTTCTTTTTTTTTTAGGCAATTGGGGTTAAGTGACTTGCCCAGGGTCACAACAGCTAGTAAGTATCAAGGGTTTGATCTGAGGCCACATTTGAACTCAGGTCCTCCTGACTTCAGGGCCGGTGCTCTATCCACTGCACCACCTAGCTGCCCCTGCTTAATGGATGTTCAATTATACAATATATAATAGACTACTGGTGATGTGGGCCTAAAGTTATATTCACATAGAGATGTTGAACCTATGGGAGTTGATGAGGTCACCAAGGAAGTAGACAAGAAAGCCTGGGGTATATAAACACATCATGGCAAATTACCCATAATTATCTAGCAAAGGATACTGAGAGTAGTCAGACAAGTAGAAAAAGAATCAGGAGAGAGGGAGGGCACAGAAACCCAGAGAGGAGACAGTATCCAAAAGAAGGTGGGCAAGAATAGCAGATGCTGCAAAATTCAAGAGGAATGAAGACTGACTGAGAACAGGCTATTTCATATAGCAGCATCTGATACTCTTGCCCACCTTGCCTGGAGAGAAGTTGCAGTTGAATGATGAAGTTGGAAACCAGAATATGAGAGAATGAGAAGTGAGAGGACAGGAAATGGGAAAAATGCGTATAGATAGGTTTTCCTAGTTCTATTCTAAAAGCAAGGAGAGATTATAGGGTAATAGGGGAGATAGATCAAGTGAAGGTTTCATAAGGATAGGGGAAAGAGACACATTTGTAGGACATCTTCATGATGTTGAGATCAAGAGTTTAAATCATATCTTATTGTAGCAGACATCAAGTAAAGGTATTGGTTATGGGACTCAAGGTTTATAACTTGGAGGCCAGTATGTTTGAGGGGACATCAACATGTTTTTGATATTTCCAAGTACAAGGGGAGGGGCTAGGGTGGAGAAGTAGAGAGAAAGCACATATCTAGGATCTGGATAAGGTGTTATTTCTGGATGGTGAAAACCTCAAAGGAGAGGCTAAATGATGGTGACTGAGGGAGGGTACCTGGAAGTGGCAGTGGGAAGCAAGGAATTTGCTCCTCCTCCTGGTCCATTATGTCAGAGAGCACAAGAGAAGGTATATCCACTATTGAAGAGGATGCCTTCAAAGGGAAACCGGGTTTTCTTGAGTGCTGGAACATGAAAGGGGTGCAGCAGAAAAAGGCACTGGATGAAGGGAAGTTTGTTAACAATGGAACAAGGGTTCCACAGGGCACAATGATAGGGGAAGGATAGGATTGAGGACTGTGGGATTGAGAACAGGGAGTGGCAAGTTTTCCATTTGGCAGCTAGCAGTCCGACATCACTGGAATTAGGATGGAAATGCATTTTTTAACTGGGGCTGCTACCCTTAAGACTCATGATGGCAGAGAGCAGAATAAATTCTTTCCCTAGCACTAGTGGAGGGAGATTGGGCTCTATTTGTTACTTAACCCCATTTGCCTAAAAAAAATAAATAAACATGAATATCCATTAAGCTGCTCAAATTTAACATGTTCAAAACAAACTATCTTTTTGTCAACTGCTTAGCACAGTGCCTGGCATATAGTAAGTACTTTATAAATGTTAGCTTACTATTATTATATTTTCCCCAAACCCTTTTCTCTTCCTAACTTCCCTATGTCTTTTGAGGCCACCATCATCCTTCTGGTTACCCTCTGATTCTTCATTTTTCTTCACCTCATATCCAATCAATTGCCTGGTCTTGTTGATTCTATTACCAAAGCATTTCTTGTACCCATCCCCTCTCTACTCCTATGGCTACCACCTTAGTTCAAGCTCATCATTTCTTGCCTGGAGTATTGCAACAACCTCTTAATTGGTCTTCCTGCCTCGTCTCTCCCCTTTCTGATTCATCTTCCACACACCTACCAAATTGATAGTCCTTAAGCACAGGTCTGACCATGTCACTCTTTCCTCTGGGGTAAAACACAATCTCCTCTGCCGAGCATTTAAAGTTGTTCACAATCTGGCTCCAGCCAATTTTTCCAGGTTAGTCGTGTATGTCCATGTTAGTCCATGCACCCCATGCACTTAACACTCCAGCCTATCATACTTCATACTCCTCCTGTTGAATAGTTCATCTCCTTCCTGCTTGCTCTGGCCTGGAATGCTTTCCCTCTTCAGCTTCCACAAAGAATTCCTAGCTTCTTTAATGGTTCAGTTCAGATGCCATCTCCTACACAAGGTCTGCCCTCATCTACCCAAGTTTCTAGTGCCCTACTCACAAGGAAATTATGTATATTTTGTATTTCCTTATGTGTTATCATGTTACTTTCCCTTGTAAATTTCTTGAGGGCAGGAACATGTTTGTTTTTGTATTTCTATCTGCATTATCTAACATAATGCCTGATACATATTAGGTGCTGTTGGTAAGAATGTATAATTGTACTTCTTATGCCCAGGTCTTATTTATTTTTGTTGTATATGTGACTCAATTTCTATACTAGACTATAAGATGGAGGAAAATAATCTTATGTATCT